ATCATCATTGAAATGAATCACCATATAGCACATGGTGTTTAGACTATAAAGAGACAAAAGCTAGATGAAAAAACTAGTAGAATAGAATATATCATAGAATATTCTCTCTCTTTATTAGTAGGTGAAAAAACTCACTTTTAATAAGGTTATAATGAGGTCACTTTTTACAATGTATCATCACACTCACCTATTTCGGGTTATTAATCTGGTCATTAAAGGGACTATCATAAAACATCTCATGACCTTAATCTTCATATAGGTGGCACATTGAGAGCTCGGTGTTTCCACCTTAGCCACTTAGACATTCTACTCACATATGCCAAAACCACATTGGGATAACCAGGATATCATTGATATTTTTCCATAACATTTTAGTTCTAAAATGAGGGCACAATGTTGTAGAAATGCTTGCTCGTTGATCTTCTCAGTAAACACTCGAGTGAAAAAGCTTTATCCCCTACCTATAGCACTTTCACTCAAGGGAGGTCGTAGCCATCATTTTTGTGCATATGAGATACTGACATTTATTCAACGACCCATATCTCTCACCCTCGGGGATGGCCTTAAGCTACTTACTTGTCCCTATCAAGATATTCTTAAATCTCACCTAGTAGGCACAAATATTAATGATGATAATATAGGTTGTCGCCCCACTCTTCCCTAGTTAATATAGTAGGCGAAGCCACTAGCCTAATCTAGTCCTCAGTTCCATCGGTACTTATCAAGGCTCCTCGATCTGACATAGTGTCGACACTAAGAGTACCCGAGGCTTCTAAACCGCTAGCCAAGGGGGAACTTAAGTTTCCAATTGTGGAATTTAGCAAGTTGCACCACTCTCAATCTGTCCTATTTGAATCTGAGGCTCAATCAACAGATTTGATGGAGGACTCCCTATGGGTCCAACTATGATAAATAGACCAATGCTTAGAAGAGATACGATGAGAGCTTTAGTGGTTAAAGAGGGAAGCGTTAGTCAACCCCACCTCGGGTTAGTCATCGTTCATCTAGAAATTTTAAGAAGAACCAATTCCAGTTAGTTTTTGTCTTCCATCCTTGGAGGCGTTCAATGAAAATGCCGATTCGATGGAGCACACTACAGCTTTTCACATCTATATGCCTCTATATGGCACCTTGAAGATCTAGCGAGAATGATATACTTGTCTAAAGTCGTTTTCCATTTGCTCTCTTTCCTAGCTAATGAGGGAGTTCAAGCTACACTTTCTCGAGAACATATGCCTTTGGCCCTTATCGACGACACTTCTCGAACTTAAGTAAGGGTAGGAAGAGATGCTCATGAACCTTGTTACTCGATTCACAAATAAGATCCGAGACATAGTAGATGCTCATCCCATCACTCATCATATAGACCTTCATTATGGAACTCAAACTCTCTTATTTTTTTTGTCATTAATAGATAGATTGTTGACAACTATGTTAGAGGTATGCCAAAGGATAAATCAATACATTGCATGGATTGGGAGAACCTGCCTCCCAATGAGAGGAAATCAGTTATGACAAGAGGTACAAGGAAAAAAATGCTCGAAGTGATGGGTAAAAAAAAAATCGAACCTTATGAGAAGAAACATGTTATAGTGGGAGACACAAATAAAAATATGCTCAAAATATATGGGTTGACAAAACCCAATCCCCACCAAAACAAATCAAAGATTTGAGTAGATGGAAAAGCATGATAATATGTTCCACTTACTAAAGAGAAAAATCATTGAGGCACCCATGCTAGTCTTACCAAATCTACAACGAACATTTGAGTTAAAGGTGGATGCATCGGGATACATGATGAGGGTTATTTTGATTCGAGATTGTCTATATGTGGCATATCAATTTGAGATGTTTATCTCAAAAGAATTATCCTACTTATGATAAAAAAAAATTGCTCATGCTACATTAAGCGATCAAACATTAGAGTGTGTATCTCGTAGTGAAGAAGACAATTGTCCACACCCTCCATCGACTATTTCAATACTTTCAAATACAATCCAAATTATAGCAAGTATGACACATGAAGTAGATGTTATATTTGTAGTAATTCAGCTTGGTGATTCAGTATAAAAAGGGAATACAAAATAAGCTAGCTAATATGTTATGGTAACCCTCAATTGTGTCTTTGCTTATCTATACATATGCAGGTCATACCTAGTTTTCAAAGGATTACATGGACATGTATATGAAAAACCTAAAATTTAAAGACATCATGGAGAAAGTTAAAGTCTTGAAGCAGATTGGAGATAATGCATGTCAACTTGAGTTACCTCCTGATATGAAGATATACTCAGTTGTGAATGTTGAGAACTTAAAATTGTTCGAGCCTTCAGACAATGCGCCGAGCAATCTTCTAAATTGGATATAAAGGATAGCAACTAAGTGCAATAAAATAGTTCTCTAAAGAAGATATTAAAGCCAAGTTTCCCTAACTTCAAAGCAATGTTTAATAAGACGTGAATCATCCTATTGGAAGAGCCATGATTAGGGACAATCTCAACATTATTCAACCCTATTATGACTTAAATTAGGGTGGCCTTTATCCAAATAGAGATAGCCACCAAGCAAGTAGGGTGCATGCTCTACAAGGGAAATCTTATTTGTTGAGCTCCACAAAAAAGGTCCGTAAAACTTAATAGACTTAAGGCACTCTTATCCCTATAAAATAAGGGATGTGCCCCTATCTAAAGGAAATCAAAAAAGTCTTGAGCCAATCAGGCATAGTTTTGTAGCTTTAAGGAGCGAGAAGAAGAAAGGGAAGAATTATGTATAGCTATAACTAACTTCTTCTACTTGTAGTCTTCTTCCTTACGTTCCAATAGTCCAAAGCTCTAGCCCAAAGCTTCATCGCTACTATAAGAAGTCCTCAACACCTAATGCTCATTGTCAAAACCTTAGGATGAGGTTTTAAGTAGCAAAGAAGGAGACCAAAGATCAATAGTGACTCCAACTCACTCGAGAGCATCAACGTGTTGTTCAAAAATGACCTACATTTTCATGCACCTATAAGCTTTCTTTCATTATTCTATTTCCATTGTTTTAGGTCTCATATTTACAACTTTAACTTTATATATAATATAGGATATATTCTTTCAATTTTATTCTTGGTTTTTATTATAATAATTCTCTTCTCCATCAAAACTTTCATATGAAAGGTGATATCGAGTTGACGGATCATTAAACCTAAATCTGATATGAATCAAAGGGAGCTGAGATTATCATTGAAGGGTATCTAGATAGCTATCAGAACATTCTTATCTTCGAGGTACTCGATAAATGGATATACCTTGATTTTCACCTCAAGATACCTCATCTTGAAATAACCTATGATGACATAGTTACATGTACTGATATGAGATGACCCTCGACCTCTTTAAGCCCACCTGAACTCGAAGAAAGTATTATAGTCGATGAACGCTTCCTCCTAATACTTTAGAATTATGGTTCTTTCAGTCTCTAGTGCCTCCCTCAAAATCTCTAACTCATTGCTTAGGTTATGAATTTGGGCATGCTCAAAATATATTAGATATTTTGAGAGTATAAAATCAATGTGTTAGATAACTAAATATCATGCTTCAAGACTCTCGTCAAAGAGCTCTCAAAGCACACCTTCAAGGGTGAGGGACAAATGATAGGAAGATATCAACAATCAATCACCATGCAACAAGTAGTTTTTGTGTGATGTCTAGGTTGAAAGAAGAAGACAAACTGTCATCCATTGATTTGCCTATGTGGACATGGGCCCAAAGCAGGCAATTGCAGGTTATCTCCATCTTTGTCGCCTATGTAGACAAAAGATTGAATTGAGATCGTTAAAATTGGTTAAACGTTATCTCATTACATAATATTTTATAGAATATTCTCTCTTTACTATCAGATACAAAAGCTCACTTTTAATAAAGTGTTATAGGGAGGTCACTTTTTATAGCTCCTAACCATACTCATCTACTTCGGGTTATTATTTTTTATAAAATAATAAATAAAAATTTTTCTAAGCTTTTGTTTATCATGTAAGAATATTTTTTTTTGATACAGTGAGCTGCTAGATGAATAACATATGAAGTTCCATGTGGTCAAATTGTTATGGAGCACCAGCCAACCACATGAACCCAAAAGATTTACATGAATTTATTTGAGTCTTTTGGGCCCAACAAAAAGAAAAAAGAAAGCTCATTTGACAAAGGTAGGAGCGAAACTACTGATTTAATATGAACAACAAATAAAGGAGATCAAGAAAAATAAAGCAAAAGAAAGGAAGAAGAAAGAAAAATAAACTAAGATATCTTCAACTGCGTTGCCATCCTTCGCTCTGCTTCGTGTTGGAATGCTACGTATGTGAGTTCGGCAGCTGGAGAGAACAGATCAAAAGCATTAGGCCAACAGAGTGTGTTGTGTGAATGGGAAGCATCATCGATGGTGGCAGATAGAACAGATCCAAAGGTGCAGTCCCCACCTCGAGACAGCACCATTCGCAGGTGTCTTCTTTTTCTTCTCCCCTTCTCTTCTTTCTGGTTGTCCCACAAGCTATTACATAAAACATGTACCTATCGCTAGGCAGCTGCTTTGGGTTTTATGACGGTCCCAGATTTTGTGGAAACTTTGGACTCAGAAAGTAGCATTAAAAGCAAAGCATAAGCATAGTGCAGTTCTTCCTGATTGGTGAATTTGATGGATGCACAACCCACATGAGATTTGAAGGTTAAGCACAGGCCATTGTTTTGTCATCTAAAATCTTCATCACCTAACAAAAACTGACACAGGCCTCCTCAAAGAAAACAATGGCTGACACAAGACATCTAGGGAAATGAGAAAAAGAACTCAGGGGGACACCCAGAATCAAGTTGAATGCCTCCTTTAAAACCAAAAGAAAGGAATGAGAGAGAACAAAGAAATGAAAAGAAAAAGCTAAAGATGCTGGCCATTGTTGGATGTATTCTGATACCTGACCTCTTTCTTTTCTACACCCATCTATATAGATTACATCATTTTAGGAAGAAAAGAGAGGGAGAGAGAGAGAGTGGAAATCGCTTCAACCACGACCTCTTATTACATTCAATCCATCACTTCATGCTAGAGAGTTTTTTCGAAGCTGTTCAGAAGACAGAAAAGGAGAGACATCATATGTGTTGTCAGAACTCCGGAAATGGTGGTTAATTGCAGAATAGATGAGAGCTGCGTTTTCTGGTGGAAGAGGGAGAAAATGAGAAGGACCGCAACTCCAAAATCTCATAGAAACGGCTTCTAGCTACTGCAAGTTTCTTCCAATGACACTCCTCCCTCTGGGTGTTCTTCTCCTTGCCGCTATCAGTCCTGTCTTCTCGGAAGCCGCAGCAAACAACACGTTCCGGCCCGGCGAAGAGCTTCGGAAGTACAGGAGGATAAGAGCCCATGTCAAGAGGCTGAACAAGCCACCTGTGAAGACAATTCAGGTAGTTCCAAATGCTTACTAGTTCTTTTCTTGTTCTTTCTGGAACCAAAGTCTTCAAGTTTCTTTCTTTTGGGCCTATTAAACAGAGTCCGGACGGTGATCTCATAGACTGTGTGCTCTCTCATCTCCAACCCGCATTTGATCACCCCAGACTGAAAGGATTGAAACCTCTGGTAATGCAAAACTCCTTCCGTTGATCTCAGCCTCGTACATGGATCTTGGGATGGCTAAAAGCTTCGTTGGCTTGAGTTCTTGCAGGATCCGCCGGAGAGACCCAGAGGCCATAATCCAGCTGGCACCATAACCGATGACAGCTTCCAGTTGTGGCGGACTTCCGGGGAGTCATGTCCGGATGGAACTGTTGCCATCAAGAGGACGAAAGAAGAAGACATCTTGCGTGCCAGCTCAGTGAAGAGATTTGGCAGGAAGCCAGCAGTGAGAACAAGGCATGACTCTGAGAGCAGCGGGCATGAGGTTAGTTTCAGTGGTGGCTTGACATTAGCTTTTGCTCATCAAAGCCTAAATTCTCTTTGTGTCAACAGCAATCTAACATCTCTTTGAACGAATCCATGATTACAGCATGCAGTCGGGTATGTCGTGGGAGATCAATACTATGGCGCGAAAGCAAGCCTAAATGTGTGGGCACCTAAGGTCTCCAGTCCTGATGAATTCAGCTTATCACAGATATGGCTCATCTCCGGAACTTTTGGCAGTGATCTGAACACCATCGAAGCTGGATGGCAGGTACTACTAATTCATGATGAACACGATTAGTCCTTTCTCACGAACTCCTTTAGCCCAATTCAAATGTAACTTTTTTGCCTCAGGTGAGTCCGCAGCTGTATGGTGATACTTCTCCAAGGTTCTTCACCTACTGGACGGTAAGGATAAATCACTCACGCTAAAATGGGAGTAATGATCTAATCATCTGCATGCAACTCATCTTGAATTTTTGTAGAGCGATGCATATCAAGCAACGGGATGCTATAACCTTCTCTGTTCGGGTTTCATTCAAACCAATAACATGATCGCCATCGGAGCTGCAATCTCTCCGGTGTCAGCCTACAGTGGCGGCCAGTACGATCTCAGTCTCCTCGTGTGGAAGGTACGTGGTAGTGCCATCGCCATAACACATCGATCGACATGGTGTACGTGTGAGTTCACAGGGTCGATGATGTGTTGTACATGTACAGGATCCAGACCACGGGAACTGGTGGCTGGAGCTGGGAACAGGTGTGCTGTTAGGCTACTGGCCCTCGTTCCTGTTCACCCACTTGTCGGAGCATGCGAGCATGGTACAGTTCGGAGGAGAAATCGTGAACACGCAGCCGCTGGGGCTCCACACCTCCACCGAGATGGGCAGCGGACATTATGCCGGGGAAGGCTTCGGGAAAGCTTCTTATTTCCGCAGCTTGCAGGTTGTGGACTGGGACAATAGCTTGATCCCTGTACCAAATCTACGGGTGCTTGCGGATCATCCAAATTGCTACGACATACACGGCGGAATCAACCGGGTGTGGGGGAACTACTTCTACTACGGCGGCCCAGGAAGAAGCCACAGATGCTCTTGATCAAGCGAGGTTTACTCGAGAATTTTTTTGTCCAAGATATTTGTTTCTTCTCCTCATGTTTCCTTCTCTGTTTCTCATCTACTTTCATGGAATCTGGATTGCCAAATGTATACAGCTTCAGAGGCCTGTAAATGTTGGGAAATATATTGGAGAATTATACGCTACAGCTCTTTATATACTTAAACTCTATGGTTAATTAAAAAGGAATGAGGATTTATTTTGAAATATATTAAAATATTCTTAATTTTCGTTCAAGTGCATTTAAAAATCCGTTAGATAATAAGATTTTTTATTAGAGGATACGAAGAGTGAGAAGATGTAAGAATTTTTTATATTTGTTAGAGTAATTTAATATTTTTAGAGTTATGTCAGAGTTAGAAAATGATATTACATATATGAAAATTAAATATTATGAGAAATAAAAATATAAGGGTGAATTCTCACGTAACACCATTTGAAAAATTCTCTTTTAACTTTGTACCGTTACCTTTGCTTTATATTGTGTTCGTCGTCGTTCTTACGTCTTATTCACTTTATTATATCTATTCTTATCTATCGTACCCTCACACGAGTAAATAGAGGGTACAATGATAGTGGTCCTTGCCACCCTTGCTAGGCCGTGACAATGGCAACATATTCCACGTTAGATTTGATAGGGTAGAGGGGAGGAAAAATTACACTGGATGACTTTTTCTATGACAAATCGAACGAAACAAAGAGGAAGAAAGATTGTATGAGCAAAAAAGAGCAACACATGATGATGACTCTCGCTACCCTTGCATGAGTAAGAAGGGGATATGATGACGACAATCTCTTCTACGACAAATCCGATAGGACATAGGGGAAAAAAAAAATATCAGACAACAAGTTAGATCTAGTAATAAAATAATTATTTATAAAAAAATAATATTTTATCAGAATTTTTTAAAATAAAGGTGCTGGAAAAAATTCTAAAGTTAAAGATTTTTTAAAAAAAAAATTCAAAATATAATTGATAATTAAAAATATATATATTATTATTTTTAAAGTGATTATACGAAGTAAGGAGGTGCGATAATCTCCCATATAAATCATTTTGTAAACCTTGGATCGATAGTGATGAATCGATTCCTAGGCTCCGAAACAGAAACGTCAGTCACATCACTAATTGATGAGTCTTCGGCTCCGCCACTTATCGCTGCACCGCCGTCACCACCGCCCCTTCGTCTTCCTTTGATCTCTCCGCTTCTTGGTTTCTGTCTTCTTATTTTCCTACCACAGAAAAGGCGAAAAGAGATCACCGCCTCTCGTCCTCTTCCTTCGTCTACACTCGACGTACGGAGAGCCCATACTTATAGCAATGATGCTCGCTCTCTCGCCCCAGCAGCTTCGCTCCCACCGACCCTCCTTCCCTGGAGCAAGAAGATCAAGAAACGACATCAAGAACAATAAGAAGAAACGCAAGAAACGAGAGAGCAGCAGGAGATGGCGAGCGGTAGCAAACATCCTCCCGGCAGAGGAGGGAACGGCTCCGCTGATTCGAAGGTCAGGCGGACACAGTCTAGGAAGCCGACAATGCTGAACGTGCCGCAGGAGGAAGAGGCGACCCTCCTTGTCGACAGCGAGCTCGTCCCCATCCTACGCGTCGCCAACGAGATCGAGACCCTCAACCCTCGCGTCGCCCACCTCTGTAAATGGAAACCCCACAACTGTTTTCTTCTTCGCTCTATTCGTTTCTGTTTCTTTCTATCTATCTTCCTTTCTTTCAGTTTTCTTCACTGATTTCCCAAGAGCAGTTCCTTACCCTATTGGAAGGAATTTCTACGAATTTCTTCATGTTTGCTCATTTTTTGACATTCGATCTCGGTGGAACTTCTGCAATAGGCGATGATGTCTAATCTAGCTATAAAATGAAAAACATACAAATGCATGCAGGATGGCCGTCCATTAAAACATCAGACCTCCTAAAGATTTGTGCAATTACCTGATCGGTGAATTGGATATGGGAACAGAGAATCCATGTCTGTTTCCTCTTGCTTGTGATAGTTTTTGGGTTTTGTTAGTGAACAAAAGTACTGTAGCTGGTGAGTTAGCACGGTTAGGTCTGTGGGCTGATGTCGGAAGCTTCTTGTGGAGTGAGTAGGACGATGAGGTGATCGCGCCCTCAAAAAGGAATGCTGGTTGGTGCTGGTCGGGCTGGCGGGGTCGTCTGGGCCCTCGCGAGAGGATGTTGATCAGCGTTCCTCGGTCTGTCGGCCCGGGCATCGTCTGTGATGGGTCGCATCCCTCCGACTTCGGGGCGGATGGCTGCGCATCCTCGTGCACGGGATAGCGATTCCCGGGTTGAGACTCTCGTCGCTCGGGGGTGATCGCCTTCTTGCAAAAATGACCTTCGTCGGGTGTTCCCCGATTTCGGCCCCTCCGACGAGCAAGTCAATAGAATCTTTTGACTTTATTTTTTTCTTCTCCCTTGGTCGGGCGTCGGCCATGGTTTTTTATACTATCTTGTGAGGATTGGTTGCGCTTCGGCTCGGTGTGGCTGCTGACTTTTGTGGGATGGAACGGCTTCTCCGACGAGTTAATGTCTTTGGGGATGCCTGAGTGGCGTCAGACGGCACCGCCCCGAGCTCTCGGGATGGTCATCTCGCATAGTGTATCTGTACGGAGCTCGACGTGGCGTGCACCATGGGGTTCTGATGGCGTGTGGTGTCGGATTCATGGCTGATGTCGATGGTGACTCATCCGGGGACCAAAATATGTCTTATCAGGTCTCCAAGGGAGAAAGATGGCTAGGAGTAGTTTTGATGGTTTTCTAATTTAATTAAGAGTAAGAATTCTTTTGATGATGGAGTTGTAGGCTTAGGTGACTTTGTGTTTGACTAGAAATGAGAGTTTGTGTTGTGATAAATTTCAGTCCTCAAAACCCATTACAAAAGGTGTGAAACTATAAGGGGGAAGGAATATAGGGTGATGGCCTTACTGAGAGCATGTTAGGTAGGGATTACTTAATTCATTTCTGCTATCAACTATATGAAATTATAACATTTTCTGCTGGGTTACTTTCCTCGTCTCAAATAAAAGATTATGTTCTTTCTATTTTGATTCGATGAATTTGATTTTTTTTGGAAATCATGAATATTCAAATTTTATTTAGTTTAAAAGTCTTTCTTCCTATCAGTGAAATGATCATAAACTGTTTTATTATTTATAAATATTCTGATATGTAAGTTGTGAAGAACTGATTTTTTATTTCGATTGATATATTTAAAAGAATGAAGTAGTAAAAATGTTTTCCTTTGTAATCCTACATGCCAGCCACAGTGGGCTGGCAGCTGCTGCAATTTGCTTACTGAGGCAGACTACAGCTGACCTGAAATGGTGAGTGTACAGGCATGGATCATGTGTAACACCTTTGATTGCCTTCCATAAATTCTCAGACAGAACATCATCTAATCTCCCTCGACCTTCACCATTGTCACATCAGCATCACATCCTTGTCCATGGTTCGGGTGTGATGTTTAGGGTGACTAAGATAAAGGAGAAAGAATGAGGAGAATTTGGTCGAATTGATAATTGATCGAGTAAAATAATTTGATTTAGCTATCTCTGGGCTGCTTTCAATTCCTTAATGATATTGGAGATTATTTAATAACGATGAGCAGATTCGAGTGAGAAATCTATGTGTCTTAGGAGATTTTCACTTACTTTCTACTGATCTTTCTTTAGATGGTTTATTGATGCACGTCACATATGTGGTCAAGTTAAAGCCATGATAACCTGTCACTATCATGTAGTCCTAACTTGCCAAATATTTTTAAATTGAGAAAGGACTTGTTTTTTGATACCTTATTATCTGAGATTGTTTCTAGAGTTTTTTCACATTGTCAGCTAGTTTTAACATTGATTTTTTTCGTGTTAAAAAAAGTTTTGAAATTTTGCTTAACTAATCCGCATAATCTTTTTTGGGCTATTTTATTTCACTTGTTTCTATATTAGAAGATTTTTATTCTTCCAATGAAGGTCGTTTTCATGTATTTGAGAAGGCTCATAAGTTGGATCCTGTGTCAAGCAAGCGTGGCACTCGTCGGTTCAAAACATATCTCTTAGACCGGAAGAGGTACATACTTGACTGACCTAATTTTTTCTACACTGATTGAGGCAGACTTCTATATCTTCTGAAACTATGTTAACTTTTCTCGCAGCATAAGTGATTTAATTATTTAATTAATCTCATTTGTGTGTCTATGATGCTTTGCAAGATCCATTAGGAGATTTAATAAATTTTAAGAGGTGGAATAAAGTCATAATATCAAGCATCTAGCATTATCACATCGTCTATGAAGTGGACTCAAAGATAGGTTTGAATAGGTATATTAGATGACTGAACTGATCATGATATTTTACAACCAGAACTGGATTGGGGTTTTCAGATCAATTAATAAAGTCTTTTTAGGTCTTTTTCTATCTCTCCTCGTACTACTAACATTAATCATTTCATCTCTTTTGACTACTACATCTGGAGGTCTTCTAAGTACATTCTCATACCATCTTACACCATTTTTTTTTATCTTATCTTATATAGAAGCGATATTTGCTTGTTTACGAATAGAAGTATTTCTTTTCCTATCTTTCTTAATAACTCCATACATCCATCTCAACATTCTCATCTCGGAAACACAAATCATTTATATATGTTGTTTCTTAACTGTTCAATACTTAGATCCAAAAATCCATTATAATAGGAAACATAAATATCTATAAAAGACTCCTGCTTGTCAAATAGTTGTCTTAATCCAAAATATATCTATAATGGGTCTCATAAGCGCAAAACAACTCATGACACTTGCTCAAGTATTTGGCGAGTATAAGTAAGAAACTTTTATCGGAAAATCCTTGCGACTAAGGAAAACACTATTTTTCTCGATCAGCAACCACACTTGACTAATGTGCATTCTTCTAAGGCCTTACTGGTTTCTATCTTGTGATAAATGATTTTAAGTCACATGTTGCCTCCTCTCATTCTTCAGCTACATGTTCCTACATGTTCAGACACAGCCTATCGGTGAAGGTTGAAAAGGCATTACTTTTAGAGTCCAACTTGTAGGAATGTGCTAGCCTGCAAAACTATCTTGGATGTTTGTGCAAAAGAACTGAAACTTAGTGGGTGATGTGGGCATGTATCTGTGCCCAAACAAGAAATATGGATTTTCTGATTACATTTTACTCTATCCAGGCCTGAGCAGGAAACGTTGTGGCAAACAAGAGGTAAGAATTCACAATTAATTGAAATTTGTGCAGCATAAGTGGAGACCTGTGTCTTGTGGAATGATAACTTATTGTCTTTGCAGAGCTTTCTGGTGTGGCGTAAGTCTCTAAGCACGTAGTCAGGGGAAACATTGTGGCTAATATAACTTGTCTATTGCTATAACAGAATTGAAATCAGAATTTCCGGATTTGAAAATGGATTTTTTGAATTTGGAATAAGTTCTTTTACTTTGGTAGGTTATGTTATTCTGGAACACATAGGGAACCTCCTTTAGCAAGGAGCTGTATTTATATTACAGGAACAATCCTTGCATATGTTTTCATCAGTTAAAGTACTAATGGATGTTTGAAGTGAATATGTTGTATCACAGTGAACATATCCTATGTTCTTCAATTTGATTGCTAAAATTGTATCCTTGTGTTTTTCATAAGAAAAAATTGGACAATGATACCTGCTTTTATTTTTTTTCAGATAAATGTACTCACTGTCTGTGTGTTCTTATATGGGCAGTTATATTTAGTTATGAGTGGTTTGGAAAGGTCAATTCTGGAGGATCCACACATTCAGCAAAATGGCAAGCCTCTTGAAAATGCTCTAGCTTCACAGTCAATCTTTCAGCTGGGCTTGTTACTGGTTCTGCCTATGGTTATGGAAGTTGGTTTGGAGAAGGGATTTCAGACAGCTATTGGTGAATTTATTCTAATGCAGCTGCAACTGGCTTGTGTCGTCTTTACCTTCCAGCTTGGGACTAAACCCCATTACTATGGGAGGACAATACTGCATGGAGGTGCAAAATATAGAACTACGGGCCATGGTTTTGTGCTATTTCATGCGAAGTTTGCTGATAACTACCGCATGTACTCCCGCAGCCATTTTTGTTTGAGGACTAGAGCTGTTGATATTGTTGATTGTCTATTAAGTATATGGAAATTCACATCGAAGCTCGACGCTGTACCTGTTCGTCATGTTTTCTGTGTTTCTTAGTTGCTTCACGGATGTTTGCAGCATTTGTATTCAACCCTTCCGGATTTGAGTGGCAGAAGACAGTTGATGATTGGACAGACTGGACAAAATGGATGGAAAACCTTGGAGGAATTGGGATTGCAGCAGATAGGAGTTGAATCATGATGGGAGAGTGAGCATACTAGAGATCGTCGCGCTTCTTGATCTTCCAGTATGTCTACGGGTTTGTCATGGCTGGTGATGTTGACTAGTACTGAAGGTATGCGCCAAACGCACGAGACCTGATGATCGCTCGACTAACTTCATGGTCAGTCATGTCCAGTAAATGAAAATTCTATGTAGATCAACAAAGTGAGACTTGAGGCATAATAACATTGTAGTCTGGAATTAAATAATGGGTGCTGAAGCATGAAATATGAGTAACTGATGGGATTGTCTATATTGGTCGAGCTGTTTTTTCAATTACTTAACTGGTACTTTGCACTGCATGCAATGCAGGGCAGTACTTTTTGTATAGTCTAATTCTGGCAAGTTTTCAACTTATGATCCGCATTCTCAGGGTCTTCGCTTCCTTGGTTGTGTCTGCGATGAGAGTCATGTTCGGTGTATGTGGCCTGACGGTATCGGAGGTTCTTTTCTTGGTCTACAAAAGCTCTGGATTGTAGGTCGTGTCGTCGGAAGGCATGGCTGAGACGACCTACCTACCGGTGGTGGGTCCCATGCGGGACCTGAGGTGAATCAACATCTCGACTGGACGAGTAAACGTAGGATGTATCGCGTTGTCGATTCTTCCTTCCTCGCCATTCTCCTGCCATCCCATCCGTGTGATCTTTCGACGCCGCATCACCGTAATAAAAATTCTTCGATAAATTTTTTTTAATAAAATTTCTTCAATAATTCTTCGTATCTATTATTTTTTCCAACACTTTCATATGATCGTGACGTTCTTCGTATCTTTTATTTTTTCCAACACTTTCATATGATCGTGACGTTCTTCGTATCTTTTATTTTTTCCGGCACTTTCATATGACGGTGACGGTGGAGAACCACAACGTCTTTCCACGTTTGTGGAATCGACAATATCTGCAAGTTCTAGATGTGGAGCATAGCAGCACTGTTGATTCGAGGGCGACTCGAAGGATGACCAGGATTCCATCGACCTGCACGCGGCCATCAGCGGACCTGAAGCTTTCTCGGTACGAATAGGAAGATTGGCGCCCAAGAAAGGCCAGAGAATTATGCCCAAGAAAGTAGTGTGAATACCCTGTCATCCTTCGACGACTTTTCCGTGGAAGCAGAAGCCACTGCTCCCAAATCCTTATATACAATCCCCAGACTTGAAACAAACCATCTCCATCTCCACACACAGAGAGAGAGAGAGAGAGAGAGAGAGTGTGTGTGTGTGTGTGGAAAGGAGAAGCGAGAGAAGGCCACACCGATCGAGAGGCACAGAGAAACCTCGACCTTCGCATCCATGGCTGCAGAGAACAAATTCTTCGAGTCGTACAAGAAAGCCCTCACGACTGCAGCCTCGGTGGCAGCGTCTATGATGCTGGCCCGCACCGTCGTCAACGAGGTCATTCCTTACGAGCTCCGAGACTACATCTTCTCGAGGTTCGACTGTCTCCGATCCCGCCTGTCCTCTGAGCACACCATCGTCATCGATCAGGCTGAAGGCTACGCATCCAACCTGGTGTTCGACGCTGCCAGGACTTACCTGTCCACCAGGATCAACCGCAGCATGCGATCCCTGCGAGTAAGCATGGTGGAGGAAGGCAAAAACATGGTGGTCTCGCTAGAACCGGGCGAGGAGATGATCGATGTCTACCAAGACATCGAATTCAAGTGGCAACTGATCAGCCAACAAGTCGACCGATCGTCAAGCCACATCAACAACCGTTTCTCGGGCTCCGCCACCGAGACGAAGTCGTTCGTGGTCAGCTTCCACCAGAAGCACAAGGACAAGATCCTCCACTCCTACTTGCCCTTCATCCTCGAGCAAGCCAAGGCCATCAGAGAGCAGGACAGGACGCTGCAGCTCCACATGAACGAGGAGGACGGGTGGTGCCCCATAAACCTCCACCACCCTTCCACGTTCGACACATTGGCGATGGACCCCAAGCTCAAGGCGGCGGTGATGGAGGATCTCGCGAGATTCGTGAAGCGGAAGGACTACTACAGTAGGATCGGCAAAGCCTGGAAGCGCGGCTATCTTCTCTACGGGCCGCCGGGGACTGGCAAATCGAGCTTGATCGCCGCCATGGCCAACTATCTCAAGTTCGACATCTACGATCTGGAGCTTGCTGAAGTAAATTGGAATACCACCCTGCGCAGATTGCTGGTGGGGATGCCAAACCGGTCGATCCTCGTGGTGGAGGACATCGATTGCTCCGTGAATCTGCAGAAGCGGGACGAGAGGGAATCAGACGCCACGTCTCCGTCCACGTCCAATGATGATAAGGTCAGATGCGATCCACCACTCCTCTCTTGCAGAGCAGGACTAATCAAGCACACGATAATCCATCAAGTAATTAGCAATCACTTACCAGAGATGTCTGCTCATGTGTTACAGATAACGCTGTCGGGGTTGCTCAACTTCATCGACGGGCTATGGTCGACCAGCGGAGAAGAGCGAATCATCGTGTTGACCACCAACTACAAGGATCGACTCGACCCTGCTCTTCTCCGACCTGGCAGAATGGACATGCACATTCACATGGGCTACTGCGGGCCTCACGCGTTCAGAGTGCTGGCCTCCAACTACCACGCCATCGACGAGCACAGCTTGTTTGCAGACATCGAAGGGCTGATACGGGAGGTGGAGGTGACCCCTGCGGAGGTCGCCGAACAGCTGATGCGGAGCGATGACGCCGACACTGCACTGGAGGGGCTGCTCGAGTACCTCCGAGCAAAGACGATGGAAGCCGAAGCTTAGTTTCCACACAAGGATTCGAGACGATGACGAAAAAGGGCATGCGTATAGGCCAAGCACCTGCCCATGACTTGCGGAAGGAACCACTGGAGCGTCTTACGATTTCATCTCAATGCATCAGAGAAACCGAATAATAACAATAATAATCAAGAGAGAGTACATTGCAAAGGATGCATGGCATCGTTATAACACTTACCTCAATCAACGACGTGATGAACATATTTACAGAGTCAAAAAGCAAAAAAAAAGACCAAGTGAGATTTGCGACTACAAACTTCTCTGTTTTTGCAGTGATTACTGAATCAATTATTAATAAACAATGTCGTCTCACACGTAACAAAAGTGCTGCACCTGCAACAGCTGACAGGAGAGAGCAAGCAAAACAGAGGAGTCTGTAGGTAGTTACCTACAGACTCCTCTGTTTCTAAAGGCCATTCTGAATCACCGGAGAAAGCAACATATCGTGATCGAATGCGACTTCGAATAAGATATGAGAGGTCTGCCGCAGCTCCCACCTAAGCTCATTGCTGCTTTTGATTTCTGGCAATAATAAGATGAAATGGTTCACATCAACAGGAAATCTATATGCACTCTTGTGATCTATTCTCTTGTTGATTGTTTGCTTCAGGTCTTCTGACAAGAAGGAATTAAATTTTGCCTGCGCTATAAATAAAGCTTTGCCATGGGGCGAAGGTAAAATCTCAAAGGAGCTCGCTCCTCCTGATGGTTCCTCGGGAAGCCGTCATCAACCGAGAAGGGAACCCATTTCCTGCGACCTCATCCCATGTATACGTGACCATACATGACTATTAATTGTTATGCTTATGCTGCAGTTTTCCTCCACGCGATCCTATATTTCGACGCATACGTACGCCTGTGAGCTCCGTTAATAGCTTCTGGTCTCAGAAGAAATTGAATCGCGTTGATTGCATCTGCCTGACAGAAATCATTGGAAGCAAGAAAACACTCGGTGGTTTGATTGATATCAGTCGAAAGCCAAGGAGAAACTGTTTGCAAGATTGGAAATATATACTGCGTGAGAACAAAGATTAATGGAATCTGCCAGACGAGTGATGGCATGAATGATTTGGGCGATGCTGATAAGTGGATGGAGGAATCCAAGAATAAAGGTGTCTTCTCCAAACTGGTGCGAGAATCATTTAGTTGTTGAAAGAGATAGCTCTTACTGCCAAAATACTGTCTCATTTAATGGCTTAGCACTACAATTCACATATCATGTCTGCTAGGCGAAATCTTAGATTCTCTTTCCTACATGAGAACAAAGGAGAAATGCTACATATTTATATATAAACACACACCCACCCTCAAAAGGGAATCCAACTATGTGTTGGAACTAATATATCCAAGAACAGATCTTGATATGTGGAATGGCTTCATGAGCAAAAAGGCCTCAGAAAAGGTCCGTGTACGTCACACAACCAAGTTCTACGTGGATCCAAAACTTAGTCTTGTCCTTAATGAAACGAAAAATATGCGTAGCAGGTCCACTTGCCGATCAGTGTCTCCACCCCTGCAGATAAACAAATGAAAAGATGCTAAATGGTATGCCTTGGGTGACGGCATGGAACAGAAGGGAACCCACCCGAGGCGTAAGCTCGACTCCACAGATAGAGCACACAACACAACAAAAATCAAAGTAATTAAAATGAAAGTATATCAATCAATAATAAACGCCTCTCTCTCTCTCTCTCTCTCTCTCTCTCTCTCTCTCTCTCCCCGTGAGATCATATCGATCAGTGATTAAAGGTCAAAAGAAACAAGGAGAGAGCGCAGAGGAAGAAACCGTGAAATGTTGACGATGACCCCGCGCCGACCCAACCAGAGTCCACCAGCAGCGGTATGTCGTCGCCGGTACCGCCGGGGACGGAGCAGGAGGTGGGATCCACGCCGGTGGGGGAGGCCATGAAGGCGCGGAGGACGAGGGCAGCGACATGCAGGTAGTGGGCCCGGTTCTCATCTAACAGCCACGTCAGACCCATGAGCTGGCACTCCCTCTGCCGGTCCATCGCCGTCACGTCACTGGTCACCCCCTCCGCTTCCTCGCTCCGCAGCTGTAACACGCACAGTAAAAAGAATCAAACCAAGTAAGGGGCGTGTACAAAGGTCAGCAAATGGATGTGTGAGAGAGACCGACATGGCAAGAAATGCTGCCTGATCGCAAGAAAAGGTCAGTAAATGGAAGTCCCTCTTCACAATTGTTGTTAGTGCATGGATGGATTGGTAACTCGGGAGCAGAGAGTCCAGTGAATCTATAAAAAACTACATATTGCTATCACGTGCATGTATTCTTTTGCATGCTTTTATACTCGTACACGTGAGGTAGCTTTAGGTTCAACTTATTCGAACAGTCATTACAGTCCTTTGATTACCAATATCGTCGTCATGTTGATCTAAACACTCTCTGAGAGTAATAAATCAGGCGGTAGAACAATAAATTGAGGCCAACAAAGTGAATGCAATGTACATTTAATAAAAAGGAATTAGAAAGCAACAGGAAGCAGGTGGAGAAGGAAGGGGGGGGACGGAGGTCACCTGATAGAGAGAGTGGAGGCAGCGGGTGCAGCCATCGAGCTCCGGTAGGCGGCACTCGGTCTGTATTAGCGTCGCCGTGTCCTCATTTGCGGGCACCCACCGCCCACCGGCGGCGGAGGCCACGAAAGGCCCGGGGCAGTGGAGGCGGCGGAGGCGGACGCCGCAGTAGCAGTACGTCAAGTCGCAGGTCTCGTTGGGCCGGGGGAGCAGCACGCCGCGGGCTCGCAGGGCCACCTCCGCCGCCGAAGCGCAGCCCTCGGAGTCGTCGGGCGGGTCCGGGACGGCGATCCCGTTGTTGGAAGCCGGGGAGAGGACGGCGAGGGCCGCAGCGGCATGGGCGGCGTGAAGGGAAGCGGCCAGGGAAGGGCAGCAGCGGCTGAGTGTGGCCGAGTGGGAGTGGGAGTCCGAGCCGGAGTCAACCGGAGAGCAGGCGGTGGCGATGTCGTGAAGGAGGTCGTCGGGGATGTCGAGTGGGCAGGCGGCCGACGACCACTCCGGCGAGGCGGGGACGGTGGCCGGATGAGGGTCTGTGGCAGCGGAGGAGAGGAGGAGGAACAGAAGAACCAAGATGGTGACAAAGGAGAGCACTCGAGGCATCACTGCTCCTCTTCACTTGTTAATATCCCACTAGCCTTCCTCAATGTTGCTGCTACTGTTGCCGCTGCTTTGCGCTTATTCGACGTGGTGGTCGTGTGGAAGAAGAAGGAAAAGACCAGAAAGATCAGTAATGGAGGAGGCGGCACTGTGGTGGTGGCTTCAGTAGTAGCTGCATGCCGGCCAGGCAAGGAGCACAGGGAACAAACCCTTCATGCGGACAGAAATATCAGCATCTCGATGACATGGCATTTGATCATTGGCTTCATTTATCAGTACACTCACCTCAAGTCCCTGCAGCCAAAAACTCCATCGATTCATTTGGAACACGAATTTGATCGCGGCATCAAATAGAATCACCCAGGAATTACTATTAAAGCAATCCATTATTGCTCGAGAATAGTTCGAAGGTTATGTGTGCTATGAGATATATAGGTGTTCAAGACTATTTTTGTAATGGGAATGCTCGTCCACAACGCATACAGATTTTAGCTGACAATTTCTTTGGGATAAGAGGAAAATAATAATAAGTGAAAGAATTAGATGCATTTTATGATCAGACTAATAGGGAAACCAAACAAGCTCAAGTTTGGATTATTATATAATTATTATTTTTGCTTTTGGAAGGTTTAAATATTTATTTGATTATTTGAAAATCTAGTGCTTTCTGTGAGTCTCTCTCTCTCTCTCTCTCTCTCTCTTTCTTTTGCTTTCGTGACTAATTGGTAGCAGGTGACAATAAATGCGTTGACATTGACATCCAACTGCACACGATAGCAAATTCACTGCCATTGTGCACGTAATCTCATCATCGGTTTCCCAATTTACCCCTCTATGTGATGCTACCTTACCACCCTTATCATCATACTCTCCACCATCTCTCGCCATTACCAGTGCATCAATTATTGCATGCCTCAGTCTTCTCTTCCCTTCTTCATCTTTCTCCTCTTTCTTTTCCTCCTTTTGAACCCTGGACATGCTTCTGAAGGTCATCTCTTCGCTTCTTTTGTTCCTGTTGTTCTTTGATCGCCTTCGATTGAGTGTCTCCGACTTCTCCTCACCGGAATGTCCATATCCGTGCCTTCCGCCGCCCACGTCGGTCATCAACTACCCTCCACCACCGCCATCAGAGCCTCAGTGGGGTTACCCTCCACCGCCGGGGACTCCGTCTGATGGATACTACACGCCGCCATCAGGTTACCCGCCGTACTACTCTCCGCCGTATTACACCCTTCCTGCACCTCCGCCGCCAGATCCGATCCTCCCGTACTTCCCTTTCTACTACAAGAGGCCGCCGCCGCCGCCCCGGTCCTCCGCCGCTTCAGCTATAGCTCGCCGTGGTGCAATCTGTGTGCCTTTGTTCACAGTGTTACTTCCATTTCTTATCTGGTAGCGGACATATATACCTCGTATGTGTTCCTCATTTCCCCGCCATATACTGATTACATTTCATCTTGCTTCCAACATATGGACAAACAACGTTTGATAGATCTTGTGTTCAAGCAAATTAGCTAGGGATGTACTTAAATCACGTTTATTCAATGCTCAGACGCGATTTGATTGTGCATTCACAGTTTAATTTCTGGCTAGTTTGGATGCCTGAGATAAATACCTGAATTGTTATGTAAATAATGGTTGATTGTGCTGCAGTTTTGGCTTTTCAATCGTACTGCAATTTATATTTTCTGCAGACATATAGCAAGATCGGTGGTTGTCAGTGTACTATATATCATCAGTCCATAAAAATAATTAAAAAGCTAGCGTTGTAATTGACAATTTAAAGCAGCATCAAACTGGCAGAAACGATGGCTTCTTGGAAGAAGCTTGCAGGGATAGTATACAACGGAGTCGTATTGCAAATCTACATAGAGTTCATACAATAAGGTGTGGTGCAGAGTCACAATCCTACTATGAAAGTGAGTACGAAGGGAAAGTTGTGAACAGCTGCTCGACAACTCATTTGGTCGCTGTGTCACTCATCCCTACCGTTTATTCATTTATTTAGGTCTGATGACGAATAGTCATCGTTGATTAGTTTTGACATGCTATATTACGTACGTTGCATGAGCGAGCCTGCGTTCAGTGCTCTCGTCCACACACACAGATACGTGCAATCGTTGATTACGAATAACATTTACAGGTTAAATCTCTTTTGATAGCTTTCCTGGACAAGATGACCGTCGTAGTTAATTTTTGCAGTGACAGTAGTAGTAGTAGTAGTAGCGACATGACCTGACGTGACCTCCTTAGTTTACTTCAGCCCTCAATAACATAAACCAATCTCATGTCCATCCCGCGAAGTGCTTCTACCAGAACCTCTATGATGGGCATCGGCTGGACATAGTGCGAAAGGCTAGAGAGCTCCTTCGTCTCTCTTCCGAGACAGACAGAAAACGAGCCTTCTTTCTTCGAACGAGTACTCTGTCGCGTCTCCTTCCGCTGTCCCGTCCGCTGCAACTTTCCTCGGACTTTTAGGAGTTGATACCGGCATGGCCTTCGTGGTCTCTTTCACGTCTTCTGCTGCACCATCAATGGGTTTAGACTTGAGAGGGTATGGAGAGAATGTTGCGAACTGGAAGTAAAGGAGGCAAAGGGTTTACAGGGGCTGCTTGTTTCAAAAGTAGCAGTAGCTGTAGCGTTCGATGATGACTTCTCTGAAAGACCAGCATTGTCTATGCCTCTCGTACCTACGGAAGAAAAAATGTCGTTTCCACGATTAATTGCTTGCACCGTTTGAGATGCATGATCCTTACATTTGAAATTGATTTTGATCAGAAACTAACCAGAAGAAACAGTACCCACTTCATATGCCTTCTTGGGTGAGTTTGTAGCAGCTGCACCAAGAGATATCCTTTGGGATGGACTCAACGTCAATGTCTTGTGTGTTTTTTTGAAACTCTGAAGCTTTGCTGGGCTTGGTTTGGACCCATAAAGCACTTCTTTCTCAGCTGTGAGTTGTCCCTGGAGCTTCTTCTGATCCTGAATCATGAATGTTTTGTGAATTCATAGTCGAGCAATTACAAAAAAAAAGAAAAAACGTCATAGTTCAGCTGAAGGTTTCTATAAGAAAAGCATTACTCTCTGCCTCTTGCGCTCTTGTTCTTTCTCTTGACTCACTGTGATGTATTGCTCCAGCATTGACAGAAGGGGGGCCTGAAATTGAATGCAAAAGGAGAGAGTGCGTTCCTTAATCATGTCTGCCTTACTACGGCCACGATGGATTGTAAATGCTTACACCGTCATATATGAACTCAGTGCCCCTTTCTTTCTCCCATGCGGTTACTTTGTTTTCCAGAGTGTCCACCATTGCTGCACAAGATACAATAAGTAGCCGGAAAACATCGTACAATCTATTTACTTGCATGCAGAACACAGCAAGAGAGCTTTTACGATATATGTATGGTGTTCTATATCCTGGACAATTCTGAATCCTAACCTGGAATCTTGCTGACTAAAGCACGAGCCTTTTCGGCACGCTTCAGTGTTAAGTGAGCACCTCTTCCAGCGCTATAACGGTTTTCATCCTACAATAACCAGGAACAACAATTGTGAACAATTTCAGATAAGAATTGAGGAAGCTTTCATTGTTAATTTACCGAAATCTCTAACCCTATTGTACTCTTCTAGCCAAGCCTCCTCTTCACATGCAGCCAACCATTTTTCTACACGTTCGAGAATGTCTTTCCTGCTAAAAGCTTCTTCTTTAGCAGTTGAAATCTGAGCTTCTATGTGCTCTAACACTAAAGATGCATCAGTGGCTCCTGCAGCCAGCAAAATGGGATTACGATGACCGAGGAATGTGGGCAACAAAATGGGCAAGGAAAAAACGAACTTATGAAATATGTCATCACTCACGAAAATCATCTTGTTACCTGCCTCAACAGCATCGATTGAAAATTCTGGTTCATAGTCTGCTTCTGCAACCAGATGAGTTCTCCGACGAATCTCTTCTAGCTCAGTTTTCTTCCTCAGAACTAGCTCTTTCAACTTGCTAGCTTTTAACTGTTCGAGTCTTAAAACTTCTGCTTCCACCTGTGGAAAAAAATTTAAAAAACATTGCGAATATAACTCGAAATGAACAATTCCTGTGGAGGGAACATTAGAACAACTCAAATGGGAAACCCTCAGTTGCTTCATACATAATTGATGAAGTCCATGGAAAGAGCATTGGGCTCTGTAAACTCTTGCTCTGATGCAGCTATATTACATGTTACTTTCTGGAATTGCTGTTGTTCCTCATTTGGTGTGTCCATCAGATTCCACAACTCCAACATGGCAGTCGCCAGATCTTGAAGCTGGCATAGGTCATGGTTCAACTTGGAGTATCAGAATATTTAAACTCGCAAAAGAACATTTACAGTAACTTCAATTACCTTCTGCATTCTTTTTATCTTGACCTTTCGCATGTTTTCAATAGCAGATGCAAGACTTTCTATGGTGCTGTTGCTGATGTTCTTTGATCCTTCATCTTGGTCTAAGCTGGGTTGTACCTCTCTGATTGTTTCTTTGAAATCAATGCCAACTACAAGGCACAATTTTTTCAGAGTATTCAAGTGATCCATGACTTGCCTCAACCGCTCGCTCTAGATTAACAAGTCTGAAAATTAGCAACGGCAGCTGCTCTGAAACGTTTCTAAAGAAAACAAGAACAGAGCAGGATCTAAAGACTCCAACCTTCTCCTTCTGAAGTGATTGTAGCTGTGTCTGCAAATCTTCTAGTATTCTAACGGACAGGTCAGATCCATCAATTGCAAACTTAGATGGATCATACTCAGTAGGACAAATCTCAGTTGAGATCTTTTGTATCTGATCCAGAACCTCTAAAAATTGGTTCAGTCTTTCACTTTTCCTCTTGTGCATCTCTTCCAGCTTCAGGGCAGTGGCCTTCAGCTGCTCCTTTAAGAAGCCAGGACTCTTATTGGATAAAAAACATGACCGACATAAGCAACATTAATCTTCTTATTATCATATCTAGAACAGGAGAAAATGGCAGTGAATAATCTATACACCACCACTGAACCAATGAGAGATAGAAAGGATCAAATAGACTACCATAAAGTCATGAGACGAGACAAACCTGCCTTATATGCACTGGTCGTTCGCCCATGGAAGAACATATGGCTGCTATCTCTGCTTCAGAATCAGCAATTTGTTGCTGCAGCTGAGCTCTATACAGGTTTGCCTGATCAACCTTTCTTCTGTACACATTTAGGCACTCCTGTTCTAGTTCAAGCAGCATTTTATCCTTTTCGGCATCAGATTCACCAAGTTCATCCCATATAACCTGAGGCAATAGTATTCATTAAGTAAGCAAATTTTGCTGGATCTATAAATCATGCTATGTGCCGATAGATGAGGCATCAGGATCTCCAGAAGCGACACAATTGAGTAAGCGACCGATCAACTGATAAAACAGTGTCGACTGGGCTTGTTACATCTCATAAATGTGACAAGCTGCATGTTTTTGTAAACATGGTGCTTTTTTCGGTCTCAAGAATCCATATGTACATGTCCCATTCTATCACTTTCTCGTTCAGCAAATGGAGAATCAAGAAACTGAAAAGAATTAGGTGAAACTGTAAGGAACCTGAAGCTCATTGAGAAGAGATTCACATGTTGTTTCAACTTGTGGGAGTGGATCATTGGGATTACGAGCCATGGTAAAGCCACTGTTCTCTGCAAGAAATTCAGAAAGAAAAAATAATAAGGGCGATCCAAATATCACCATCGAACCAGAAAGTTTGAAAATGGTCGGGCATCCAAGAATTATTCATTTTTTTTATATTCTTCTTATAATCTTCTCGCACATAAAACTCGAGGAAAAAAACAATGTTGGTTCGTATAGATACACCAAGAAATAATAATAATAATAAAGCCATCGATGAGGCAATGTCAAGTAAAATGAGGAATCAAGCAAATTACTTCACATATATGGTTACAATTGGACGAAATCCAGCAACGAGAGGAAACAGAGATATCATATTTCCTTGGGAAAGGATTTTAAGAAAACCAAACCTGGCGTCAATTTTCAAGTTAAGGGATTAAGGAACTCAACAAGCCATCCCAAATGACGATTATGTTCTACTGTACTTAATGATAGACGATCAAATCTCTTGTCCCGATTAGGTATTCCTTATAATCATCGTCTCCTCGTCCTGGTTTAGGGTCAGAAATCTAATTTCAGGAATCCCAATCAAGAACGATAAAAAGAAAAGAAAGATGTGCTTATTTCAGCCAATCAATTACGGTGTCTCCCTTTCCAATGAATTTGGCATTTGCTTACCAATACGGACGGCCAGAAGCCTGATTGAATCTGCGAAACCTGCGAAGTTGAAGGCCGATGAATCAGAGAACCAAATTGAAGGCACTGCATTCGCGTCCTACCTACGAAAGATCAATAGACCGTCAAATCCATGACCAACGCCAAAACAGCCTAGAGAAGAAATGCCACCGTAGAAAAGAGGAGAGAGTTTGCACCCGAGAGACGAAATCGCCCGACGAAGCAGGATTTGGTTTTGGGACGCCGGCAGCAGAAGGTAGAATCGAGAAATGGAGAGAAAAGGATGGGGAATTGGGCGCAAGTTTTCGCACGGACGTCGGTATCATCATGTAATTTAAATTTAGTAAATGTTCTATTATTTGTTTCTTTTATTGGTTTATTTTTAATTCGTTTAATACGGAAACGGGAGAGGGGGGGCGGGTGGGAAGTCGAAAGGAGCGGAGGTGGCGTACGATTCACAACCAACGAGCCAACAACTCTCCAAGAAAAAACAAACCAATGTAGCAGAGGAACCTTCTATCTCTCGAAATAGTTTTATTTGGACCGGTAAGCTCAAATGCATCTCTTCCTCTGCAGATTTCGCTTTTAATCTTTTCTTCTTGATTGCTGATTTTAGAAATAGAGGATGGGATCCAATGTAGGCATAGAGAGAGAGAGAGAGAGAGTTTGCTCCTGCTAAGAGTTTAACAGAAATTATTTTTGTAGCTTTTTTTTTTATCATCTGGTTAAAACCTTTATAATGATATCATAATAACAGTCCATGGGTTTGAAACGATAGTAATCTCTCTTTATTTTACCCCATAGTTAATCGATAATTGTATTATACATTAGATTGTTTGATAGTTACTTCAAATTTTGAGACTATTAATCATCCAATCAAATCTTTTATTTCATTTGTTTCCCCGTGACAAACACACAAGAAATAGCCACACAAGCATGCTGTTCTGCCTCTTAAAATTTCCTTTTTTATTTATAGGAGAAAAGAATTTGGTGATGCAGAGTCTGCCTACAAAACGTTCCCCATCATCATCATCATCACCAGCAGCAGCATTAGCTTTTTACAACTCCACATCTTATACCAAGTAATTAGATGAAGGAAAAAAAAAAGTTAAGCATTCCGTCCATAGGATTTAGCGACGATGACGACGAGGACGACATTGTTGATCAACAGTTCAGAGAATTTGAGCAACCACGGCAGTCTTAATTCCATGTTGCTTCGCAAACACCTCCTCCCTTTGGGGGCGGTTTGCATACAATACCCATAAGATGAGGCAGAACATGACCCCTGAGGAGATGAGGCCCAGCCCTGCAGTGACCATCCGTAGATCAAGCTTCAAACGGGGGCAAAAGAAGGTGGTGATGGAGTTGAAAGCCCCTCTAACAAACTGGCAGTTCTGAAGGTTGAGCAAGAAAGGCGTGTAATGATCGAGGGCATAACTCGCATTCACAGCTGCAACCAGCTGCTTGTAAACCTCTGGAGTCACCCCACCGACGACTGTGCCACAAAGTCCTGAATCTGAGATGACGCAAGTGTAGTTCTGCCATACCTGCAATTGTTCATATAGTGATTAAATATGATTATGCAGTTGTCATCCCTCAATGAAAAATGATCTTGAATCAAAGGATGGAACTCGTTCTACATGCAAATAGCAACATTAACCACAAAATTAACTACTTCCATTTTTCCACCGGATGACCAAAGAAAAAGATTTAACAATTAAGTTCACGAATTTTACTAAATTCAGATGTGATAATCTTCATCCGCACCTTTGAAGCATTCACAAATGACACTTCCCCAGGTTCACACTGCCGTTCATGCATCCGAGAATCATAAGGAGAGCAGAGAGGTGGCATCAACACTCCAGACTGGTTGTAAGACACAGTTTTAACTTGGGAAGATATTGCTGTGTTGACTACATTGACGAGCTGAACAATCACTTCTTTACTCTGATACAATGTAAGATTTGTTGTTTGCTCATCAACACAAGGAAGAATATTACTAAGTGACGTCTCTGCTCGGGAGTTGTGGACCCATTCGCCCATTGCAGTGCAGGTATCCCCAACGGCACTGAGATTAAGTGTACAAAAAGAAACAGGAAATAAGCTCCTCGGGTTTAAGCTCTATTGAGAACTATGATGTTGCTCAAACCACACATCAAATGAGCTGCATCCAGAATACAAAGACAAAAATATGTAGCAGACTAGCAAGTTTGAAGACACTCTTTGTGTTCTAGGATCAATGGATGACCATATAAAGCTATGTGCCACTCAGAGCATCAAGCAACCAACATCAGAAATTGAGAGATTTGAAAAACGATTTAATGAGCATCCTTCGTCAAGTTAGGTTCAGCTCGCAAGTCAATGCATGAGCTGGTAAATAATAGGTATGGGAAACTAGACAGATACTCTGGTAGTCATTTTTTCTTAGGCATAAACATATATTGTTGAAGCAGACTAAACATCAAAAAGCAACCTCTTTTTACTTATGCTGGCAATACTTGTATTCACTTTTTCTTCTATCTTTGTTTAAGCAACATGAGGATTTCTGTTTATAACAACAATATATTTAATGGCAAATGCACGCAAATATAGCTGGATGTCTTACTTGCTGACAATAACAAAAAATCCACAAAGAACAAAAGTAACTGCCACCAGCAGCCACCCACTTATGATAAATCTGAAAAAAAAAATTCAATCAATAACTACAAATGCTCATCCTAGAAAATCAAATCCAACAATGTATTTTCAAAAATATTATTTGCAGCTCAAGAACTTACATGTAGATGGCATGTTTATGCCTAAGAACTGACAGCACTGCAGCAAACAAGTTAGCAAATCAGTCACTTGGAGACATCAAATCAAAATAACATTTAAGGAACAAAAATACAAGCATTATGAATGAGAAGGTACAAACTTTCTGAAAGGAAAATAAATCACATACAAAAACCAAGGATGGCCAAAAGAAGCATCATAGTTGCTACCACAATTAATGTGCAACGTCTATCAAGACACAAAAAAACACAGACAAAGCATGTTAGCACGTATAAATATATCCTCAGCAATCAACTGGTATGAGAATTTAAGAATCATACATGTCATCAAAAACTTGTCTTATTTTCCCGGAACTTTTAGCTGTTTCACCTGATAGTGTATTAGCAGCATCATTGAGATCAACGTTTATTTTATCAACTTTATTCTGAACATCCCTTGGAAGAGAAAGCTGGTCCACACTGATCGTCTTGGCCAGTAAAAGAAAATCTGTGACATTCTTGAGAACCTGAACAGTGAAGTCTGATTGATTCACAACAAAATCTAAAGTATCCAGTACTTCACCATGGAAGTCATCCTGACCAACTGAAAGAAGAACACATCCAATCCTGAAATTCAGACGTACCATAAAAAAAAAGGTTACTATATTAGAAATTGATAAAATAGGCTTAAACCACATAAGCAATAAAGTTCAGTGTTCTAAATTCCTAGAAGCTTGTAGGTTCTGTGCATAAGTCCAAGTATTTGTCTGGAAATTTATTTGTTCGCTTTGAATATAAATTATGGTTTTGTTCCAACTATGTTTTTGTTCACTTTCAAAAGGCATAATAACCTTTTGCTAAGTTGGACTGGAAATTTATTGACAAGAAATGCAAGGTTTTGCAATTAGGATACGTGAATATTAATTGGAAGATCACACATAAGAAAATACCATGATATAATGCTGCACAGCACTGTGGTTTTTTTTAAGACATATTTCTGGATATTCAAACTCCAACCGCTGCTATAGATTAATCTTTGGTGTGACAAATGTGTCAATAACAATGTCAACACACATGATGGATTCCATAACCCTAGCAATAGAATTTAAAACTCTGTAATGCTAATGAGTTTGAAGGTGCAGAGAATTACAATGCTGCACAAGTGAAAACCAGTAGCAAGAGAAGACAAATCTGCTTTGAGCAAGATGAATTTTTCTCATCGATCTCAATGCTCCATCTATAATAATGATGTGTACCCAAAGCCAGCGCAAACAAAATAAACCATACGAATGCAAGAACAAACCCAGCAGCTCCCGTAAATCCAACGGACTGCAAAATCATTGAAAATGAGCAAAAACAATTACATATGGTTGAATGTTAGTAGTCTATAACAAAAAATAAAAATCATATGAATGAACAAATATACAAATAGACAATTAGGCAAACAGCGATATCAAAATTGAACATGACTGTGGAGTATATGTAGGCTCAAGGAGAGGGAGGGATGGATGGAGAGAGAGAAGCTCGAGGTGGCGGGGGGGCGCGGGCAGGGAGCAGAGAGAAGACAGAGATGCTTTTAAAAGAGGTTTGATGACAATGAACCATCAAATTACATTGAAAATGTATGGAAAACAAAAAATAAAGGCCATCAAAGAAATATAGTTCAAGAGTTACAAAATTGAAACGAAATTTCGTTTATAAAGCAAGGAATAAAATGCATATGAAAAATGAACAAGTTCATGATTTAGATAGCAAAATAAAAAAAAATTGGAAAAATTGCATGTGTTAATATGTATAGTAAGACAAAAGGGAGGCATGGAAAGACCTGAACTATAAAGATTTGGGCATATAACTTGATAGTGAACAGACCAACTTCAAAGGGTCAATTTCAAGTGTTCAACAGTACTTATGATCAAACATTATGGTTTGCTACACCTTTGTTATATTCCTGCCCCTGTTAACTATGACAAGGCAAATCTTATTCCTATAACAGTCTTCTTTCCTTGCTTTCATTGTGTAAACATAATCATTAAGAATGAGCATTCACAATGTTTCTTCTTATCCACTTCTCTAACAATACCTATTCGGCTATTTGATTGCAAGAACAAGAATTCCGACTCTATTGCTGCAGATCTTATCTTAATTTTCTATGGCCATCTACTGGCCCCTATCATATGATATAGATTGAGCCTGTTACCATTCTAGATGTGTGGATTTGTAAATATGCCCACCAATCTTGATACTTTCCCATCTTACTTATGTCTATTGGCTACTTCGGTAGTTAGTACTGATTGGTGCCTCTGAATAATCATAGGATTACTTGATCTAGTTAAACTTCAAAGTCTATTGTCATGTTTGGTCAGCAAAAATGTGTTAGTGTTTAGTAACATTAGAAAAATAAGTTTTCCATAAGTTTGTTAAGTGTAAGATTTTAAATATCAATTATACGAAGGTGTCAGCTAATTTAGCTAGTAAAGTTTTTAACAGTTTATCACAATTTCCTGGGCTTGAATCTCGCATTTGCCATTTACCTTTTGCAAAAAAAAAAAATCAATTATACTAATCTACAACTTCTGCTCCTCTTTCCCCACCTCTACATCCACCATAGCAGCCTCCTCTGCCTCTGCCCCACTTCTGCATCTGCCGCATCCTCCATTGCCAATGCCTCCTCCTCCTCCTCCATACATGTGGCTTCTGGCGCCACCTCCTTTGTTTCCTCCTCCACCTCCTCTCATGGAAACTCCTTCCTTCTCTCTCTATCAATTATCTCCTCTTCCCCCAACTGGACTGATAATGGTCAGCATGGGGACATGCCAACACATGATATGCGTAACATACTGGTATCATACCAATCCGCCTAAGTTACAGTATTGGTATCACACCTAGATTTGGAAGCTCAGCTAAAAGTCCTTTATTTAGTTTACCTTGGAGAATAGAGTCTTGTATGTGGTCAAATAATATCCATTGTAGTGTTGGGGTCATCATAGGTCAGATAAAAATCCTTTTACAATATCTAGAAATTATCAAATGATTGACAGATGTGATGTAAGAAGAATTAATGATGAAGTATTGTCAACTTTGAATAAAATTTTCTTTTACTGGCCAACTATGTATATCTAGTCTTATAAAGTACATGGTCTATTTTCTCTATCACTTCATCGTATCTTATGATTTCTTGTACACTGAGGTCTGAGGCCATAAAAATTCAGTCACCAAAAGAATCCTCTTTTTGTCCTGGTATTAATCTCGAAGATCTTATAGTTGCACAATGAAGTTTATTTTAATCTTAGATAATTTCTAAAGCACCAAGAACCACCATTTATTTTTCTCCTCCAATCTTCTTTCTTGTAGTTCTCTCCATTTCTTTTTAATTAAGTACACTGCAGAACAGAGTTGAGATGTCACAAGAAAATATACCGGGATACAATCTTGCAAAAGAAAAGCCAAAGACACCAGCACATTTGGTTTAGGGAAAAAAAATGTCTTGAATTTGAAAAAAGAACTCAGATATCACAAAAAGAGAATAATATGACAAAATCCCTGTCATATTACTGTTACCTAATGATAGTTTCTCTCCCAGTAATCCCTTCCCTCCTCCTTTATTGGAATGGACACCTTTGGTCATTCCTTTGGGTCACTTACTACTTTATATACTACTATGTAGAACTCACACGCCATGGAAAAGTTTTGTCCATGTAAAAATCAATTGCGACCAATAGAACTCGCAAGCCATGGAAAAGGTTTGCCCATGTAAAAATCAACTGCGACCAATAATGCATTATTTTAACAAAACACAAATCGGATCTATCTGTGGGCAATCGCGACCACTACACCCAAGTTCCAAGCCTACTGGCACAAGAAGAAAAACCTGAGATCCAGTGAATGATCAAATCCACAGTTATTCTTCCAATTATATTACGAATGACACGTATATTAAGAGAAAGAGCTACGATATCTTACCGCCCAATAGTGCTTGTCGGTAACATCCCAACCACCACGATATATACTGAACTTGTTCAGGATATCAGGCCGCCTCGTTCTCTTCTCCGCCAAAACCAGTGGAATCTTCGCATCGGGAGCTAATGCAGGAGGACCCGATGCGACGGGAGAGAACCGCAAGAGTCCATTCGCCCACGGCGCCAAATTCTCCCCTCCTTCAGTGCAACAAAAAGAAGAAGCCCGGAATTGCTCGATCAGGGGCTGAAGAACATATTTATACTAGAAAAAGCTTTCTCATTTCCATAACACTGTCGCGAAGACAAAGAAACCCCAAAAAAAGAATCCCCAAGAAGTCACTATTATCTTTTTTGGCAAGAACAAGAAGACCCCATATTTCGCTGAAAACGACCACACCCATCGATCTTAGATGCCACAAGAAACAGGAAACCCCCGGAACAACAAATGCAAGAAAGCAGAACAAAGGGAAGCGGAACGAGAGCGATCGTACCGAGTATAGACTTGGGGGAGATCTCCCCTCCACCGAGTACGACATGCGAAGCAGCCCCGGATGCCGCAGGAGCGGAGGCCAAGAGCATGAGGAGAGAGAAGGCGACGAGACCTCCGACCGTGGCGGCATAGAAAGAGGAGACGATCGGCATGGCCGGCGACTCATAGGAGGGATCGACCGCAGAAGGGATCCATCGAGTGAAGCAACACGAGAGATGGAGGGAGTGAATGGGGGAACGGTGTCCACATTATATATGTAGAAAGCGAGCGAGACTGAGAGAGAGAGAGAGAGAGGGGGGGGGCGGGGCGGTGTGAGTGTTGCAGAGCGGGGAGGTTTCACCGCTTCACATAAGAGGAGAAAAGATGAAAAGTTGGATAAATATTTAACTATGCATTATTACTGCTTAGGAATTAAGACGTGCAGCAGCTGCTAGCGGTAGCAACGCAGCATTAGAGTGGGGCCCGATGCCATGGTAGCAGAAAGAGTGCGACGTGAGCGAGTGTGACGGACTCGAAGCGGTTCGGCCTGTGTGTCGGTTCGGGCACGGCAATTACTTCACCACACCCCCGCGCTGTGCCTCCGAATCAATGACGTGGGACAACTTCTGAGCCGGGCCATGTGCCTTCCTGTGTGTGGAGCCCAATGACGGCAGGCAAGAGGATGGCAGATCCGTCCATGTGACGGCCACAATGAATACAGCGTTTTACGCACGTAGCTTTACCTTGGGGATCCTATGGATCTCAGAAAGGCCACCGGATGGGAAGCCTCATGCCTACACTGCACGCCGAAGTTGGGTAGGTTGGATTGAGTCAGGCCGTGTATACTTACGTATGTTGGAGGCGTTATACTAACTTCCAGCGATGATAGCAAGTAAATAAGCAGAAGCGGACAAGTGAATGATGGAACAAATGCACTACCTGAAACCTTTTTTGTAGGGTGTGTATATCTTAGCTGTGCCCTTTTGCTTTAGCTTTCCATTGTCACGTGGTTGCTCTCCCTCTCTTCCTCACTCTCAAAGAGATTACCGACGGTGGAATATATATTGAGCAATTTTTAAAAAAAAAATAAAGTTTTAAGAAATTTTTTCATAGCACTTTTATTTTTAAAAAAATTATAGAATGTTTCTTGAAAAATTTATTTTATCTTTATGTTTTCATCGTATCCATTATCACCTACTTTCTCTTCTCTATGCCAACGATAATGAGTGGAGGATCATTTCCACCCTTAGTTCTCTACGTTATCGCTCTAGCCTTTCTACCCCTCCAACATAGATGATGATAGGGTGGAGAGTCGTGAGCATACGCAAGCCTCTTAACCATTTGTACCTTTATCGTTAACCACTTTTGCCTACATGTATGTCTTTGGTTATCCTCATCCTTCTGTGAGAACCTTTATATATAAATTTTTTATCGGCTTTGCTTTTGTCTACTAGACAACCTGTCCTCCTCTTTCCACTCACTCTCATCCTCTTCACCTATGACCTGCATCCTCTGTTATCTCTCGCGCAGAGGAGGTAGTTAGTGACTATAGCATAAGGGCAAAATTATCTTTTATGAAAAAAAAAAATGTTCTACCGATTTTTTTTTTTAACTTTAAGATTTTTTTTCTAAAAAATTACTTATATATAAGTTATTAATATTTATAAGTTTTGCTGTCCTAAATTAGATTTAGGATATATTTCACTCACAAAGTTCTTATGAGTCCAATTATCAATATGAAAAGATAATTACATTACCGAAGCTGTCTTAGAGTGTCATCATTGGTTGGATCAATTAAATCAATATTGTTTAATTGATCCAACATTCATTTGAATATGTTCATATATTCTATTAAATCACTTACCTTTTACATTGTTCACTTATATAAATTACCTTTGGAGTATGGCTTATTAAGATTTTAGTCAAATAAGGTTTTCATAATTTGTCTCAAATAATCATGACGGAATCTTCATCAATAATATTATTAATTATGTTATCCATGATGAAATAATAAATAATACTTATTTGACTCTAACTCCTCCCAATTTTTATTGTTCACCTTTTTTTTTTTCCTTATCCACTCACCCTATCATTCCTCGTGAGTGTTGAATAAGATCAATCATTATGGTGTAAGATGCTTGCTTAAACCGAATATCTTGCACCAACCTAAGGGAGACGAAGGCACATTGGATCCGAAAGAATTTAATGTCGCCTCTCTATTTTTCTTTTTTATATTGAAACTTATACAATTTTTATTGAGTCCTAATCACTTTGTAGGGCTGGGATTCATCCTAAAAAATAAGCAGAGGAATTTGGTAGCTCTCCGGTGATAAGGGATCACTTGGTCAGTCTTGATGCACCTTGGTGGTGCGAGGAATTATTTGCTTTGAGTGATGACGATTGAGCTCGCACGATTTTACCCTTTCGAAGTCACAGAGCCTTAAAAGATGTCTTTGAGGGTAAGGAAAGCACGGTTGACTTATGAGCCATTGGTTTCTCCACTCCTCAACCAATGTGAGACTAAATAATCTTATCACATAGCAAACTGAGTATGAGGTAACTTTGAAAGCCTTTCATTTTGTTGCCAAAGGGGTCTTTTATGAATGTAAGTTGTGAAACTTCTCGATTGTGATGAGGCTATGCCTCAGTGTCTATGAAATATTCTAAGTGATTGTTTCTTGTATTTTGAGAAGATTTTTCTAACTACCTATAGTTTTTTTATAGATAATATAATAAGGAGGCACATTCTCGATAAGATAATATAATAAGGAGGCACTATCATCTATATTTCTTACAATAATTTCTTCCTTTACAAAATGTGATAAAAAATATATTTATAAATCTAATCTTTTGGACATTATTAATATAATTTGTTTGAGAAGAGAAAAATCTCAAAATTAAAAGTAAAATCCTAAATACCAACGACCAAACAATGTACTATAAAACCAAATATAAGAAAAATATCTTATACCAATAAAGTTAAGCCTGAAACACTTATATTTCCTCTCACATAAATTCAAACAAATATATTTCTCTATATATCTCTCACTAAAATTTCGAAATACATGATATAATCCATCTTGCTACTTTTTAATCATATTCCTAATCTTAATTCAGAATCCTACAATAATTTCAAATCTCACTATGATTACTCTAAATAATTTGAAATCTAATTAAGGTTGCTTAAAATTAGTTTGAATCTAATTAAAATTACTAAAATACTGACACCTTAACAGCCTTCTTAGATCTACCGTGGATTCCACGTAAAGAAGCTCCCGTCGGTCACGTGATCGGCAGCTGGGGATAATCTTCGCAGTTAAACGACAGTCCGATCTAATTGAATTGCTATACAACTGCTGTGATGCGCCACCACTCAATGAACAGTTTTTGATATGGCCCAAAAGAACCCTTATATTATGGTCGATAAGTTAGCACGGCTCGATCCCGGATTCATAAGATTACTTACGTGGAGACTTGGGTATCGTAAGTGAGCGTTGAGTCAAATTAGGTTGTGGGCCTCCTCGCCTGCTTCGTCATTGTCAGCCCCTACACTTAGGTCGAGGTCGAGAGAAGGATTTTCTGACTCAATCCCTCCAAAGCTGAGTGAAATAAGAGTGAGTTGAGTATGTGAAATCTCCTCCCATTGGTCAGAGGGTTGACTTTTATACATGCAAAGGGGTGGTCAGGCATACATGATCATTTAATGGCTATCAATTCCTCGGGAGGATGACTTATACCCTGCAGACGAACATCAATTGACCCGTACAGGTTGTCATCGTGCAGCATCATTTTGAGTTTTGCAGAACGGATTCGTGGTGTTCGGCGTCGACTTGTACGACACCGAGCAAGATGGCTTGTTTCCTATGGACAAGCATCAACCGACCCATATGGGTCCCCGTTGTGCGATGTCATTCCGAGCTTTCCGGGACAGTTCCATGGTGTTCGACGCCGAACAACGTGGAGATCGTGTGGTCATCTCGTTCGGATTTGAGATGTCGTATCGTGTCAGTTAGAAGGTCTTTCGTCAATCCTATCACGGTCCTCATCAGCTGCCACGTGGATGTGCTGAAAGTGCCACACCACCGAGTATGTCTTCAGCGAGATAAACGTACCCATAACTCATCGTAACAAACAGCAGATTTGCTCGTCTCGTGGCGATTAATTAGCGGTTTCATTTAATCTCATTTCACTGTAACCAGCCGGCAAATTTGAATTAGGACGGAGGAGGCAGGTAAAATAGGCACACTGAGGTGAGTTTGTTGGGACCGAGTGGGCTGGGGTTTGGGTGAGGTTTCGCCGAGCGATCCGACCCGTCGCGTGCGCAGCGTCCAAAACCCTAGCCGCTCCTCCGCCGCTTCCGATATAAAGTCACCTTGTCTCGCTTTTCTACTGTTCGCTTCAAAACCTAGCCGCGGCCGCCACTCTCCCTCTTTCCTCCTCCTCCTCTTCCCCGTCCTCTACGGTATTCGAAGATGGCCGACACCCTGGTCCTCCGCGGCACGATGCGCGGCCACACCGACATGGTGACGGCCATCGCTGCCCCCATCGATAACTCCGACATGATCGTTTCCTCATCCCGGGACAAGTCTGTACTCGTCTGGCACCTTACCAAGGATGCTCCTTCTGCTTCTGGGGATGGGACCGCCACCGGCTCCTCCTACGGCGTTCCAAAGCGCCGCCTCACCGGCCACTCCCACTTCGTCCAGGATGTGGTCCTCTCCTCTGACGGCCAGTTTGCCCTCTCCGGCTCCTGGGACGGCGATCTCCGTCTCTGGGACTTGTCCACCGGCGTTACCACCCGCCGCTTTTCTGGTCATACCAAGGACGTTCTATCCGTTGCCTTCTCCATCGACAACCGTCAAATCGTCTCCGCCTCCCGCGATCGCACCATCAAGCTCTGGAACACCCTCGGAGAGTGCAAGTACACCATCCAGGATGCCGACGCCCACACCAACTGGGTCAGCTGCGTCCGCTTCAGCCCCAATGCTTACCAGCCTACCATAGTCTCTGCCTCCTGGGACCGCACCATCAAGGTCTGGAATCTGACCAACTGCAAGCTCCGCTGCACTCTCGCTGGCCACGCCGGCTATGTCAACACAGTTGCTGTCAGCCCCGATGGCTCCCTCTGCGCCAGCGGTGGCAAGGATGGGGTCACACTGCTCTGGGACCTCGCGGAAGGGAAGCGCCTCTACTCACTCGATGCCGGGGCCATCATCCACTCGCTCTGCTTCAGTCCCAACCGGTACTGGCTTTGCGCTGCTACTCAGGAGAGCGTCAAGATCTGGGACCTTGAGAGCAAGTCCATCGTGCAGGATCTTAAGCCTGAAACCACTGGCACCAAGAACCAGGTAGTTTTTTTGTTTAGTTTTATGACACTAAAACAATTAATCTTTTTGCATGTTTTAGATTGTGTATGTATATTTCAATGATTACCTTTGCTGTTTGTTTGATCCAATAAATTTGTGACTCTGCCATCTTTGTTCATATTTTGCTTTCGTCTCTAGATAATAGAATGGAAAAACATTCATTTATTTTTTGTTGAAATAATGGTTTTATTTGTGTTCCACTCTTAAATATTTGTTCCTTGGACATTGACTAGATGGTAATTTTTGTATTAGTTTGAATATAACGTCAAGTGGTTTTTCTGAATTTGTCTCATCATTTTCTGAGTTTTTATTATTCAGAAATCAGCAATGATGCAATATGGTTGTAAGTGTTATTATTTCGTTACACATGATTTATTTTTGCTGGGTTTTCTCAATTTTCGAAAACCTTTTGTTTCTTTTTCGAATTCTTGTTCTAACTTTATCTGTTAGATTCTCAATAGAAATTGCTGAGACTAGTGCAAAATTTCTGGTCATTGGTTAGAAACCTAACCGTAGCCAGAATCTCAGATCATTTATATTGCTGTAGCTAGAACCTTTCACAAGATACTGTTTTATATTAACTGACGTTGAATATTTGTATGGCAAGTCTGACATGTTTCTGTAAACGATCAACTTAGGATTTCCATGATCAAAGGTCCTACTAAATTCTACATAAATTAGATCCCTAGTTATTATCCTAAAGTTCTTTATTTATTAATACAGATGAGGTGCATTTTTCTGCATGTGAAGTTAGATATTGAGTCCTGTTTTGGATTAACTCATGGATTTGTCTGCCTTGGGACAGAACTTGAGATGATCAGGCTGGTTTATCTGATGGATCTTGATTTATCTTGAATTAGTTTTGACAGTCTTTCAGAAAATGTAGTACACTATAAAGTATGGCATATGTTTTGGTTAACTGTTGGATCTACCTGCTTCTGCAGTATTTGAGTAGTTGCTTAATCTTATTTAACTGACAGATCTAGTTTTATCTTTACTGATATTGACAAGTGCTAGTTTTATCTCTAGGGACTTGCATGCATTTCTTTTTACGTACGAACTTACATAACTTTGCACTCGTGCATGTTTTTTAAGTATATTATGTGTATTATTTCCCCGGAAATCTTTGTATGTCATAGTTGCATAACCTTTAATATCTAAAGCTATTGCCACCATGTCAAATTACATAGTGTCAAATTGTTGTGATGAATCTTGACCATTGCACCAAATTCCAAATTTTGATACAATGCATTTAATTTTCCAAAAGGAGTTTTCTATCTGAATTGGTAATAAATATTTTAGATTGATAGCTGGACCTTTTTACAGATTCACCATTAGCCATTTCCTTATTGTGATGACAGTAGTATTTGTAACCTTTGAGAACATTTGTGATATGGAAAAGATTAGACTGGTAAAATAAACCAAGTTGTGATTAAACTAGAAATCTCTTTGCAGCAATTCTTGTCTTGCACCTGCTGCAGACAGTTCTGATCATGGCCTTGCTGATTGTTTTCTGATGAGATGTCTTTCTATAGGTTTGGTTGGACAGTCAAATTGGGAATATATATAATAAAGTAATAGGTTTTCTCTTAAACATGCAATCATAAAAATTTGCTTCTGTGTTTGAGCTTATGAGTTACGATTGCGTCTCATGTTGTTCGATAATTATCTGATTAGATGATATGGTCGACTTAGCTCTTGGTCTTTAACTGTTTCTGTAGATGTTGTACTGCACAAGCTTGACTTGGAGCGCAGATGGTAGCACACTATTCACTGGTTACACCGACGGAACCATCAGAGTTTGGGAGATTCGGTACTAGAGGTAGAGAGGGAAGGCGAATAGGAATTTCTCTCGTGCTCCTCTTTATTTTTTGCTTTGGAAAGAACATTGCATGTTTCTGGTTTTTATTTTAATCTTTTTTGGAGCAATTGCAAGGCACATTTCTGGCAATCTTATGACAGTCTGTTTTTTTGGGCAATATTAAGTGTTTTTTGGAGCAATATCTCTCGTGTGGTTTTTACGGTAATCTGCCATTTGTAGTTATCTCCTGGAAAAATTTCTATGCCTGCTTTTTCTTTTAAAATTTTACAGTGTCTTGACAACGTCAAATATAGAGTTATTACACGTCAAATATAGCTTTTTGTACAAGCTACGATGCCTCTATCTTCAGCTAATTAGCTGTGGTAAGTCGGTGAAAGGGTTGGGCGTGTAAAAGGAATAGTTAGGGAGTATTGCGCTAGTGTTAAAAAAATTTCTGCGTGTTGTTTAAATGCTGCTTTTTCGTAGTAGTTCAAATATTTGTTTTGGAAGGACAGTGGTGGATCGTGTTGTATGGACATGGCCATCTCTCTGGCTTTGCGATAGATATGATCACTCTTTCTTGAAAGATAAATTCGTCCGTTGAAGATAAAATTGAAGTTGGATCGGTTTCCATGGTTTTGATTTTGATTCTGAGTTTTGGTGCAGCAGTCAATCATGTGAATGTGATTAAGCGACTCTTATGGCTAATCACTTATCTCAACACTCTCAACAATTTTTAAAATTTTATTATATTTTATATTTTTTAGTATGTTATCAAATTTACTTATAGATTGTTTTTTATAGTTAATTATTTTTTAATATTTTGATCTTTATATTTTAAAAAATTATATTTGTAAATCAAGACTCATAAACTAGTAAGGTGGATCCCCTCTCCTAATGACAGTTGAATCAATACCTGTTACGACAGAAGTCAGAAGACTCGTTATGGAGGAAATTGTTAAGGTGGAGTCACTCTCTCGCTTATGGTGGTCGAATCAAGACTCATCATGACAAAAGTTGTTATAGTAGATTGATATCGATACTCCGACTATGATGGTCAAATTAAGACATGTTACGATGAATTTGATATCGATGCTTTCGCTACGATGGACGAATCAAGACCCGCTATGGTGGATCGATACGCTTTCGCTACGATGGACGAATCAAGACCCGCTATGGTGGATCGATACTAATACTCCCGCTATGATAATCGAATTAAGACCCACTATGGATCGATACTGATACTCCCGCTATGATAATCGAATTAAGACCCACTATGGTGGATTGTTACTGATCCTCACACTCAAAGTGGTCAAGCCAACATTTGTTATTGTGGACCTACTCCTGTGCAGAATGGGGAGAATGAAGATAGAGAGGAAGGAAAAAATATAAAGGTCCCTTAAGCCAACACTCGGCTAAACAATGATTGCCCTAATAAGAAAGCATAACCCGCCCCAAACAGGCCTCACACCAACCATCACCGTGCCAGCAATAACGATCACATCACCATACAAGAATGTAGGAAAAGTGATGTCCTTCAAGACATGCCCTCACCACGTAAGCACTTCAAGACATGCCCTCGTTGCCTGCCTCATATTCTCGAAATGGGCTCGCAAGACCCACTCATCACCGATCTCGTAGTTGGAAAAAATAATGACTCCGCATGAATGGTTGGCGACATAGCTCGATCGCACCAACCTTCCCTTCCGGACGGACGATAAAGAGACCACACCTTACCCGACCCAAAGAAGCAAGGAAGCATCATCTCGATAGTCCCTAGATGTCGCCCCTGGGGACACACGTCGACAAGCTACCCGCATTAAATGCCTCCTCCATGCAAGGTAAGGGAGATCTTGACGACGACTCGTATGCTCTACCTAGTGCCTAGGTATAAAAGCCAAGCCCCGAGCCAAGTCAGGACAAGTGGGCAAGAGCTCTTCATTCTCTCACTTACATTGTTAACCTTCTTTCATCTCTCTAACTTAAGTATCGGAAAGATCAGTAGGCGACCCAACTGTCCAACCCGACTTCACCATACGAGGATTGGACCGCCCCCGGCACCATCCGGAGACACAGCCAAGAGGCGACCCAACTTCACCATACAAGGGCCAAACCGCTCCCCACGAACCACCTTTCCCCTTTCCCCTTTCCCCAGTGGGCTCTCCACGTCGGTTCATTACGTCAACTCTCCGCGTTAGCAAAGAGGAGCCATAAAAAAAACCCTGCACCTTCGATAATAAATCAACCAAGCCGACTCACGAGTCGACAATCTCTGTTAACACCACTAAAGCAGCTTCCTTAGACGCCCAATTACAATGACAACGAAGCCACCGGGTTAGAGGAATTGCAGCGATACGTGTTCCGCTGTTTGAATAATAAAACGATGTTACCTTTTTCACTTCAACGAATAAACAAGCAATCAAATACCTCAGTCAACATCATCAAACGCTCTGCTGTATATACGCAGATCGTATCCACTTAAATCAAGCAAAAAAAAAAAATTATTGCCATTTGTTCTTCCAAACAAAGACTACTCTTCCCTCGTATCAAATAAACAAAAGAAAAGAAATAGTCGGTATTAGGATATACCTCCGCAGTGGTACAGGCGCCTCGGTACAACCACAAAGGCATCTATCTTATTCAAGGAAACAACAAACACAGCATCGTGCGTGCACAAATGAATGTTCAGTTGACAGACCAATCAGGGTTCAAAATCTTATTTATCCATTTACTGTCCTTTTTCTTTTTTTTGTGGTGATGGTGCCTAATTCTTCACGGTGGTCACATGCTTCAAAAGCATTTGACCCACATCGTTGGAAATATTGGCTGCCTGTGACTTGAGGTGCTGGATCTTTTCCTCAGTTTCTAGCTCAAGCCGCTTAACATTTGCACCAGAATCTCCACTGCTCTGTTTTGTCACAACAAGTAACAGGAAGCTAAATGCGCAATAATAGTATGTTATAGAAGGCCAAAACCCAAGGCATCGGCAGCCACTCACCTGAGCAACCTTCTTCTGAAACTCGGCTTCCATTTGTGCCCGATATGCAGCAATCTCCTTATCTGCTTCTTCTTTAGCCTGCTTCAGCCTTGCCATTTTGGCTGTGGTACAAATATGATTCTTCTATTAGCTCATTCATCCACCAGATTTCGACAATAAATGGGCTCTTTTTTCCTTGAATTTTAATGTCAAATCCATTTATATTATTTTATTCCAACTAGCTTTTTCCAATGATGAGAAAATAAACCAACACTCGAAGAATTAATAATCTAAACTGAAATGAGTTTTTTTTTTCCAATGCTACATATGTCCAGAAACTAGAAACTAAAAAAACAAAACAAAACAAAACTAGAAGCTTCAATAAATTTCATTAAACTGATGGAATCAGGGTAACAATCATCGACTAGTAGTAAAGCTTGTCTGATATATACAGAAAGAAATAAACCATATCAGGCAAATCTTTGACATAAGTATTAAAAGTATCCCTATGTCTACCAAATATCAAAGTAACCATCAAAAGTGGCTCCAAATTTGCGTACCCAAATTTCCAGAGGCTATCGCTTTCTTATGCAATGTTCATTCTCAATGATCTTTATTTTGTTGCAACCTTTTCAATGAGTTCTATGCAACAAGTGGCACATGCTTATTTGACTTGATTAATGATTTTAACTCTACAAGAAAATTGAAATATTACAAAAAAGAAAGCCTGTCTAGCTTCATCCCTAAGAGTTATTCTTTGAATCAAACAGAGTCTTAACTCTTTTTTTTTTCCTTTCTCGTTTCACTAATCATCTAATATTTCATATCTTTATCCAAGAAACCCTCAGTGCATTTGTCATGATGAATTATAAGATTTTATCAACACTAAACTTAATTTATGAAAAGAAAACATGCACGAAAGATTCTATGGCTGGTCTTCAGACATCGCTGAAGGTTTGGTTTTCATATTATTCAGTTTTTCTAAGACACACACTAGCAATTGCCTCAAATAGCATGACAATATACAATCTAGCAACCCAATGACTGCTAGCAGCTAGTCACTAAGAAAGAAATGACAATATACATATCCTTCCATATGCATTATATTTCCCTAAATCCTCATTCTCAGGGTATCGTCATAAAAAATATTTTCCTGGTTGAATATTTGAGATTTTAGTTTCATGCATCAAGCTGCAAATTCAAGGTACACCAAAACCAACAAATATCAGATAGAAAAACTATATGAAGCTCATTTACAGAAATGCTATATATTATAGATTTGAGCTCTGCTTTTTAACAGAACTAACCATTTCTAGCCTCATTGACAATGCGTTGTGCTTCCTGCTCTGCAGCCAACAATTGCTGAATTCCACTCTGACGCCTGTTGGAATCCATCTTCTAGCTCCTATCAAGAAAACAGACTGAACACAAATGTGTCCATATTGCATGTAAATTGTTATTATAAAAAACAGATTAAGGTGACAAATTTTGATTAATATAAAGCAAGTATCAAAATTATATTCAACAGAAGTAACTAATTCCGTGGGGTTTAGCTCATGTCTCTCTAGCTAAAGAAACATAGGGAACATTAACATTGTACCAGGGATAGCTCTCTTCTATATTCTGAAAAAGCACCATACACAAAAAATCTCATTGGAGTCAAATGCATAATAAGTAAAATTGGATTGAGCAAAACATTCTGATCCAAAACAAACATCGCAAATACATTGCAAATTTTAGTTCAAATTTGAGGTTTAGTAAAATAGAAGTGATCGTCCTACCACATATGCCATAATGTAGAGATGACAGAAACAGTGTAACCAACTAGGATAAAGAGACTCCCAATGATTACTTATAAATGCCAAGTGATGCAGACAAAAACGTTGTATGGAATTGTATTAGATATGTCATTATATATGGCTAAAAGATAAAAAAAATTCATCAAACGAGTCTTGCAACTGATAATCTTATTCTACTTTGCATCAACCCATTTAAATTGATAAATTGAAGAGGAATGTCCAAATCCATTGATAAATGGTTCTGATCAGATAGTATGAGGACAGGGATAGAGTGAACTGCATTAGGAAGTGCTTTGAGGATCTTTTTTCTTTCTCATATTCAAGGTTAGAGCCGCTAAAGAGCTCAGTTCATAGCTGTTACCAAAACTCAAGTTTATCAAAACTTTAGAAGATCATAATCCTTGTATCATATTCAAGGCGAGAATCATTAAAGAGCTCAGAGTACAGACGTTACCATATGTCTAAGTTTATTAAAACTTTAGACCTCAAACTGGTAGAGAAAGATTGATAGGCTGTGAATCATAATCAGATTTGAACTACTTGATAAGTTAAACACCGCACAAACGAGGGGATCACCCTACCATGCACCTAAGTGGACAGAACAATGAGTGCCGTTCGTGGTTAACACAGCACAGCCATACAAAGAGAGGCCAATACGATATATCTCCACCACTTATTTACATGACTATTGCTGATTTCATCGAGGAGTCATGCGATAGTAAGCAAACATAACCCAACCGTAGAAGAACCACAGCAAAGGACTCCAAAACTGATGTGAGCAAATGCGATCCCGCACAAAACAATGAGAAGCCTTTTGTAAGATTTTCAAGGCTTTTCTCCACAGAATTGGAGTCGCAAACACAGGAAATGTACGGAAAGATTACGAAGAACAATCAACACGAGCACATCCAGTCTCTCCAAGTAGAAGATTCGAGCACGAATCCTTTTCTGCGGACTTGAAGAAGAAAAGATAGCCAACCCCTTTCATCAGGAATCGGAACCCACAAAAATCAACCAGTTAAAGGAAATCCAAGATAGTTCCATGTAGATCTAGCAATTACTCCTAACGGGAAGAACACTACAACACCCACCAAGTTACTGGTCATCAACAGTCAAAACAACGCTTGGAGATCGCAAAGCCATCACGACCGCTGTGATTACCGAAAATTCAGCAAATATAGGGAGGAAAAAGTAAAACAAAAAGTGCTCCGAAGAAGAAAAGCAAGAAGATCGAACATAGCATCGAGATCTAACCCATGTATAACTAAGAAAACAACGAGATCCGATTTGAGATCGGCAAAAAGGAAGGGAAACAGAACATGGGAGAAAGGGGGAAAGACGTACCTCCTCTGAGCGAAGACGAAGAGGAAGAACAGGCGACGGCGATGGGGATGGGGATTTGGTTGGCCCTTATTTCTTGGATTCCACCGACCCGATGTCTCAGGAGACGTGCCCTGATCCATTATAATATTCTATTATTCCATCATTATTATTATATTAATTATTACTGGTACTAATATTGTAATAGGCTGCCCAGCCCAGCCCGGCCCGGGCCATATGGGCCCACATATTTTCCTAACTGATTTCTCTCTTCTACCAGTAATTGTGATTATTTTGTTATTCTTTTATTACTCTAAAAAACACTTTCTGAAAGGATGCATGTAAAATAAGTAAATATGATACTTCTTATAGAAGTATTCGATGAGAATCCTATAGAATCGAACTAATTTTGAATTAATTATATTATTCATAAATTATAATTTAGAGGTTAGGGTAGGAATGCAATAAACCATATGTAAGGATTTGGTCATTCCATTGGTAACAATCCCGTTGCTAAGTGCTAATCCACACTTCCTCCTTTCATTTATTTTTAGGAGAATTAAATTTACGTCCCTAATTTTTTTTACTTATTGAAAAATGCGACCCATCCAATTTTGATTTAAATGCTCGAGTTTAATTGTGGATGTCTTCACATCCCAAGTGTTTACTGATCCACTTTGTATTAGAATTGGCATCTGTTATTTACGGAGGATTTGTTTGCCTTGTTTTCTTTTCTTTTAATTATTTTTATGTAAAATATCTTTTGAACTGGGTTGCTGAACAACCAAAGCTACACACAAAGTGTTGGGCGGATGCAGTGTGGAACAAGAAATAGAATGCTTGTTTGTTCTATTATACTCTTTAGCTGGAGGAGAGCGGTAGATTGTTATGATTCATGATATAGGGATAATATTAATACCCTCCAACTTATGAGGACTAATAAATAATAAAAAATAAAAACGAATGATCTTTAAGGATAACATACCTAAACTTTCCTAGATATCACTTGGTTGACATCTTGAACCATGCCTCTACATTAATGATTGACAACAAGCTGCCCTCATCAAGCGTTCTACTATTCAAAGTAAAAGGGTTTTGACTAACGCATGATCAGATTGCTCGGTGTTCAAGTATAAAGGTCACGCACTAAACCAAGCTAAGGAAGTAGGTAATAACTTCTCTATTCTCTCGTTTACATAGTTTATACTGTTGTCTTCTTCTCCCTCTCCCTCTCGTTGACTTAAACATTGGAGTGATCGAGTTGGGAAGCCCCCCGATATAAACCTATTATGCAGGGCTATCAACGATCAGGAGATGACCCCATCGCTAAGAGATGACCCTGCAATAAGGGAGACCCTTGTTCCTCTACCCGACCTCTCATCTTCAAGGTTAGATCATCCCCAACGAATCATCTTCCCAACAGACCCCACGTCAATACGAAGAAGTCATGCGAAAGCACATGCACCTTCAACAGTAAATCGACCGAACCAACACACGTATTTGTGACTCTATCAATGGGTATGCAATTGACATATATTTAATTGCTGTGTGAGAACATTTGCTTTCGAAAAGTGCCAAAACACTAAACACCACGGAAGCTAAAAACATTTATCACTCTCAACACCCTTCAAATAATTATTTGACTGGTACGTATCAAATCGACTTAAGATACATGTTAGGCTGATGTTGCACTTTTCGAGTTGAAAGAGGCGCAAGAATCCACCGAGTCTACTGTGGGAATCCATGTAAGAAGATATGGGGTCCTTTGTTTAATGGGGACACTCATTTGCCATCGGCAGCAGAAGTCACTGCCGACGTTGCTTGAATTGTTAGAACAGGCTATGAACACAGCTGGAAACAAGATGTGTGGGGGTGTTAACCTCATATCAACTCAAAAGCAAGCCAGCTCAATGGAGAAGGGAAAGGACTTCCTTGGAGTGGTGGTGGTGAGTGGGCCTTCCTCCCGATTCTGGCAATCCTGGATGTCGCCATCCACATCCATTGGTGGAGTGTTTCCATCCATGTCCAGTCGTCGGATGCCACGGAAGCAACAAGAACACCAATAGATAGAGATTAAAGACGGATGCAGTAAATTTTGGTGTTCCAGAATGAGTTGTTCCGGTTTTGGAAATCGGAATCGAATCGGTTCTCTGAAATTTTTTATTATTATATTTATTCATCCAATTAATCATTTATTAAACTGTTTGAATGAATAGATTCATCATTTAGAGAGTGTTTGTGATACAGAACAAAAACAAAATCAAGAAAAATAACTCCAGTAGACTAACCTTAAAAGTGAAGACGACAGAAATCAACTCCTCCTAGTGGAGAATATCTTTGTAATATTTAAATATATTATTTTTTAGTAATTTCATAGACTTAGAAGGGGTTTTTATTTATACTAGTTTTAGGCTTTAAAACTAGTTAATTAGCAATGTGGGATAAAAGAAAAAATAATAATAAATGGATAATAAAGTAGATAAGAAGTAGTTCACGAATATTATCATCCAAATATGCAGGAAGACGAGGAGCGAGGCACCCTGCAAGAGTAGAGAACACTTCAATAGGTCCACTATGCCTGCCATGGAGAATCCAGAGGCCTGAGAGGTGACGGGTCGTAACCATGTTGTTATCTAAAAGAGTCACCTCAGCTGCTTTCCATAGAGAAAAAGACAAACGCAAGGAAATCCATGGTAGGAGAGACTTCGTGTGACGCAGTAACATGCAACCTACAGGAGGAAAGTCTTTCGAGGGGCCAATTAGGTTATCGTGTGGATAAAGGCAGCCATATCGACGAGCTATTCTCATAATCATCAAATGGTGGCGTCGCCTGGCGAATTATTGCTGGTTTGCATCACCACATAATTTGTTTGTCGTAAAACGCTGCTGTGTGAAGCTTTACCTACTGTTAACATGGGTAGGTGGCAAAGGGAGAGACACAAGTAGGGCTTTGCTTTGAAGCTTGGAGAATTGATAGACTTCAAATGTGATTCCTTTCCTCATGAAAGCCTCCTTTTCTTCGCAATGGTACTATTGGAAATAGACCTGTCAAGGCGTAGACAGAATTGCTGCAGCTATAAGATATTGGGATGAAGAACATATAAAGACACTATGCGTGACTTCACATCGCCCTTAAGGTCTTCCCTTCCTTTTATCGAGAGGCACCGTCACCTCACCGAATCCTTTGTTTTAATGTGCCTTGTTCTCTGAGCAATGCCGAAGGCTTCCGATCACGCTATGGATGCTGTCACTTTGAGTTGGGATTGTGCTTGCACAGGCTCCATGATGGACACCACCAAAACCCTTGACACCACCACGTATTATCTCGATGCCAAAATATAAAGACAAAGATGAACCAAATCAGATGGCATGATGCATTGCTGCTCTTTACTATCTCATCTCAAGCCTGCAAATCGATCGAGTGGGCTCAGTCATGTCTTCTTCTTCTTCTTTTATTGTTATCTACAGTGGGTGTATGTAGAGAGGTTAAAAGTGTACCATAAGCTTCCATGAAAGATGCTCTGCAGGTGGGTGTTGCGTCATTGACATCTCTCATCTTCACTCCATGTACAATCACAGATGGATCGCGTCATCTCGTGTTTCAAAAGCAAGTGGTAGATGACAAGCATTAGAAACACATCATAGACTGTTCTAAAACGATCTATGCGCGCTCACTTCCTGAGTAGATCAATTCCTCAAAATAAGACAAACAACATTACATGGAAAAATAATGATAATGCAACAGATAATCACGTAAAGAATGCTAATAGCTTTTCCCGTAAACAGCAGCAACAACGGCGTGCAGATTGCTACGCTATCATTTCCACAATCCTAACTCGTGTACGAACTCAATAGTGTAAGGTTGTAGCAGCAAGTAGATACATCATGAATCCGTATCATATGGCAAAAGCTGTGTCAGCTGTATGCACCTCAATGCATGGGTGACAGTGCACACTGTGCAGATGGCGGTGGACGACAGCAGAGATTAGGTTGGAGGTACGTATCATATGCATGCATGCATGCATGCATGACGTGGGGACTGACTGCCGTCCGGCGATACGGGTGAACTGTCGCACTGTTATACTGTTTGATGTGCTGCGTGGGTTAGGGGTAGGGATAGGGAGGTGTCAAACCCGTGAACTTTTGTGAAGAGAAGACTTCTGTAGCAACTCGATGGACTACTGCTGCTATTGCGTAAGTACTCAAATTGTAATATAGAATAATTTAATTTCAGGATTAAAATTATAAATTCCGTAGATAATGAATAAAAATTATGATAATAAATAAAACTGTAGTGTGAAATAATCTAATGCTAAGACGACCAGCGTTGTATATGGAACTTTTCTGCCTCCAGGAAGGACGTACTGCTGTCGCTGTTTGCGTATGGTTCCAATCGCACGGACCAGAAACAGCTCTTATTGGTTGGAGTGACTGCGATACTGCACTGCACTGGACGTTTTCCTATTGGCTTTCCTGTACGACCAAGAAGATGTACCCAAAATGTACGTGCCCAAGAAAGAGGCACTGCTGCACTGCCTGCCGCAAGAGACTCGCGACTACCACTTAAGCACCTCTTTTCCCACCTAATCAGGACACCTGCTCGTGTTCATGCTAAGAAAACCTCCCCATGGTTCGCATATAAATACTCACACATCCCTTCCTTCATTCCATGAGTTGGAAAGAGATGATAGTATGATACAATTGTAAGGCATGTATAGCAAAGACAGGAGATCGATCATGGCAGGGATAGAGTGCGATGATAAATCCACCAACCCACGATTCAAGCTCTTCGGTTTCCTTGTTTCCGACAACGACGAACTCCTCGCCCCTACGGCGGAGGCCACTGGCGACGCGGCGGCAGGAGGCGGTGCCGCAGACGGGAGGAGGTACGAGTGCCAGTACTGCTGCCGGGAGTTCGCGAACTCGCAGGCGCTGGGCGGCCACCAGAACGCCCACAAGAAGGAGCGCCAGCAGCTGAGGCGCGCTCAGCAGCTGCACCGAGCCTCCCTCCACCGCTCGCCGCTGGCGGCGGCGAACGTTAACTACCACCGGAGGGCTGCCTCCCCGGCCTTCGCTCCGCCGCGGTCGAGCTGGGTTTGGTACTCGCTCCCGAGCCCACCGGCCTCCCATTCATCCCTCGCCGCACGTGCAATCTTACCCTCGTCGGTCCCGCCGCCGCCCCCCTACTACAGCACGTCAGCGGCGTACGGTTTGGATGGGGACGGGGACCTCCGGTGGTGCTCCGAATCGAGCCGTCCCATCAACGGAACCCGGCTCGACGGGAGTACTGTGGCGGAGGGTGCGACGGAGGACGTGGATCTCCACCTTAGTCTTGCTCCGACTGGCTCGTGACTCCTCCGTGTTCACACGATGCACGTCACCGATATATCTTTATGATGTGTATGCACGATACTTCTTCTTTCTTGCTTTTGATTAGTATTCTCTAAGTAAATGTGTGCTCCTACGGATTGGGTGGCCTCTATCAAGCGTTACCCTTTTTCTCCCTTTCTTCTGTAAGCCCACTTTGAATTAAAGTATACTTAAGAATGTAGAGAAGGAAGCAATGAACTCGAGGCGCCCTTCAGAGTGTGTGCTCTTCTTTTCTAGCTTGTAGAAAAAGAAGAAGAAAGGCGATGGTTAGGTCGTCTATTGCTGAAAGACGGGTCAAAATAGGAATAAAAGAGAGCGTCATCCTAAGATACGTATCACGTCGTTTAGATTGGGCTTGTCGACAACATTGTTGATTTTGAGTTCCCATTCGAGGAAATGTTAGGTGAGATAACACTGAAAGATTTGCTTGCTTGGCTTGAAATTTACACTTGCTTTCTTGTCAAGAAAAGTTCATGGAAGAAATTAGTGCAGCCTTAGCTTCTTAAATCATGGCATCATCCAAAAGAAACCCCCAGGAAATGATGTCTTTTCCAGGTGAATGGATCCACCTCAATCATACTTAATTGTGTGTGTAGGGAAGAAGAGGGTGGTGGGTGGTTCTAATCCATCCGTTTCCATATGAGATGAGATGGCAACCCAAGAGACAAATCTATAAAGGTGAGATACGCTACTGCAGTCAAGTAAGCTCCAAAAGTCAATCTTTGATGCATTGGAATATTAAATTAAACATTATGATAAGATAAATTAATTGGTTTAAACTATTGAGAAAATTAGTAATCCAATTACATTCCAATCGGCAAGTGTACCCTTTGCACATCGTGGCCTCCTCCAAAGCCCATGAAGGCCCAAATCACCCATCAGCTGTTTCGAGAACTTGTTCATACCATATTTTAATTATGCCCTCTTCTTGTTCATAAGCGGCATATCAATGTTCATAAGTTAAAATGCAATATTGGACAACGTAGTATTATACTGCATCACAATTTTCGCATGTTTGATGCAAAGTTTATGCCATAATGTTCTACGTGTTCTAAACATCATTTCTTAGGTCATAAACATCACACCATACATATTTACAAATAAAAAGAGAATGTTGTTTTGCTTTCTATCCTTTGTACAAATAGTGCTACTTGATGAAAAGAATATATATATATATATATATATATATATATATATATATATATATATATATATATATATATATATATATATTCCCGCTTGTGACGGTCTTGGTTTTCCTGTTTCTAAATAGAGGTTTGACTCCATGGTATAAAGTTGCTGGTGAGTCTGAATTAGTGAGACCTGACTTGCTAGCTAGACTAGCTAGACCCAAGATATATTATCACTAACTTAATCTTAACTATTTTAAATAAACAATTAAGATCAAATTAAGTTTAAGTATTTTTTTTTGTGTGCATAGCATTTAAAAGATGAGATTATCTCTGACCTTCACCCTATCAATTGTCTTCTGCGCCCCATCGCCCTTATCTTCGTTCTCATCACTTATGTTCATCACTATCGAAGTATCGCTAAGGCCCCCATTATTGACCTCGATGGAGGGAAAGTAGACTATCATGATAGGGTTTCCCTCCCTTCTCTCTTGTATGACCCACCACATTGGGCAATGATGAGAGATGGAAGCGAGAAAGGACGTGCACCTTTAGTACAAGAAACTCAGAATTTAGAAAGCTAAGAAGGGGGATGATGCTCTTTTCAAATATGATATATCGGAAAGTATATGAGGGTCTTGTGACGAATAACCATAACGGGATGATGAGATAAAAATAAAGGATAATTGTATTTTTAAAAAATTAAAAAAAATATTTTACAAGAATAAATTAAGAAAAAGAATGTTTTGTGAAGAAAAAAAAATAAAAATTTAAGAATTTTGTTGAGGGATTTACCCTTCAATCAATAGATTTGACTCAACGACCTAAAAGGATGAGATACAATTCCACAAAGTGACCGTGCAGTTCTTTGGTCAAACCGCGTCAAGTTACTGACCTCATCCGGGACGTCACTCATTCACGCGGAGGCAGTGACAGCCCTGCTATCCTTCCATCAGCTTTCCCAAGCATTGTCGTGCTCTTTCCTAAGGCTGTGCTCTTTCCTGAGGCTTTCAAGCATTTAGGGAGCTCTCAACCACGTACCGAGCCATCTGAATTCTCCTTCTCCTTCTCCTTCTCCCCCTCCTTCCCGGTGCTGCCTCTATACTCTTGTTTGCTTACTTCAACCTCGCTCTCGGATCGAGGCTTCTTAAAATTGCCAGGAAAATATGCATGCATGCATCAAAAAACGAATCGAGCCGCGGGACCTTCGCCTGGACTCGCAGAATGGTGTAGATCCGGCAGTGGCGAGACGGACGACACCCTCCTCTTCTTTCTCTTCGTAAGCAACTGTCTCTAAGCCTGCATGTCCTGCTGTCATTTCCATGCATGTCTCATGTTTTCTCTCAGTCACAGGTTTGCATGATAACATCTGCTCTCTTGAGTTCTTGCACATATATACATATATATCCAAGTTTATGGTAAATTGCTGTTTTTGACAGCGTCGTCCGAGAAGTTATGGTTGGAACAAGCATGCAGAAGTACTTGTGCTCGGCATTAGAACCACTGCTTCGGAGAGTGGTACGATCATCATGATGGACCATGCAACCTTCCACTTTAGCTTATTATTCAATGATAAGTATGTTCCTTCAAAGCGAAAATTATTTGCTGATATAGGTGCGTGAAGAGGTGGACCGCAGGCTTACTCATCACTTGGGACAATTACCGAGGTAAAAGCATGTGGTTGATCGACCTTCTTAATCGTTCACAATACATGCATGAAAACTTGATTCCTTGGTTTCCATATGAGCTTCAAAAGAAGAAATGCCTGTTCCTCTTCAGATCCCCACAGCTGCAAACTCCAAGCTTGCAACTCATCTTCACAAGCCCACTCTCGCTACCCATCTTCACCAGAGGCAAAATCAAAGATAAGGACGACAATCCACTGCAAATCCAACTTGTACGCTGCCAATCTGGCCCAAGTTCTATTATTTCAATCGAACCACCTCCCAGAGTGGAAATAGTTGTCCTCGATGGAGATTTCCCCTTTAACGATGACGACAATTGGACCCCCAAGGAGTTCAGTAGCCACGTACTGAGAGAACGGAAGGGGAAGAGGCCATTACTCGTCGGAGAATGCAGAGTTACACTGCGTCAAGGCATGGCTTCAATACAGAAGCTCGAGTTCACAGATAACTCAAGCTGGATAAGATCTCGGAACTTCCGACTCGGCGCAAGAGTTTCTCCGGGGAGCTATGAAGGAGTAAGGATCAAAGAAGCAATAACAGAACGTTTCACGGTCTTAGATCATCGTGGAGAGTGTAAGAACAGCTTCTATCTCTCTTAATCTTGTGCAGAGAACATGCGCTTTTTGTCGATCTAATTCTGCCTTCTACATGTCATCTTACAGTGAACAAGAAGCACTTTCCTCCATCCCGACACGACAAGGTTTGGAGACTAAAGAATATAGCCAAGAACGGAAAATTCGACGCCAGACTGGCTTTTGCGGGAATCACAACCGTGCAAGATTTCTTGAAGCTATCAGTCGCCAATCAGCAACGCCTGCGACAAGTAAGCCGTCCGCTGACATCCAAATATATATATATGTGTTGTGAACGTGACATGATCCTTGGCTCTGCAATTTAGATTCTGGGACAAGGGATGTCGGAACACATGTGGAATGAGACGATTACTCATGCGAGTACTTGCAACATTGGCGATGAGCTATACTTGTACCATGGGGAATTCGGTACAGTAGTCTTCAACCCTATATGCCAAGTTTGGGGAGTTATGGTGAACGGCTTGACGTACGCTCTGGAACAGCTTACTCCGCAGCATGCAGTGAGGATAATATGCTAAGATTTAGGATGGATTTGGTAAGCCATGCCTGTCAGAATAATAATGATCTTTTCATGTTTTCTACGCAGATCGATCTGCAGATGCTGATCCAGAACGCATACCAGAACTGGAACCAGTTGGAAGAAATAGATGGTGCATCACTCATTAGAGCCACCGAAGCACAACCAAGTCGTAGAACTACTTCTTTCTTGTCAGCAAGAACTAGATTAATTATAGCTAGATTTGCATCGATATATTCGAGAAATTGAGACCAGGATTTGTTTATTTTACAGGCAGCAGTGTTATGATCCCAGACGAGCTTCATGGAATTGAAGCTTCTCCAAGCACTGTGCCGATGGAGATGGGACTGTGACGACAGAGACGAGCAGTCGACGAAGACTGCTCGTTCAGCTGGTGGCACCAGAAGACGAGTTATGAAGGAGAATAAGTATCTATATATTGCTATATTAAGTGATGCAATAAGCATGAACTTGTTTCAATGTACTTTAGTTATTCTTCAGGAAGTGGAGTTGCTTTCGATGTATTTCTCATAGTGTTCGTCTTTCATCGATGGCGATCTTCGGACGCCACGAATGAGCTTCATTAATGGATACGGCAAGCGAGCTGTTCTCTCCCATATCATATGGTATCATAGCTAAATTCTTTGTTTTTTATTGTTCTTAAAGACTGAATTGGGGAAGATCAATGATAGCAAATTGTTGTAACTCTAATCTCAACCTATAATAAATAAGTGTTTTAATTTTCAATAGTGAAAACTATGATTTTTGGTTTGTGAAAACATATTAAGGAAAAAAAATATTGATATCAATGCGTTGGCATTTTAAGATATATTAAGAGCAATTTAGAAAATAAACTAAGTATTAATTAAGATTTTAAAGTAATAAAATTTAAAAATAAAAGAACTATTATAATTTTATATTGAACGAGAATAATTATATAATAATGTGCTTTTTTTTCCCTCTTATTTCTAAAAAAAATTAAATCCTTCATAAATACTGCAAGCGAGCTTCCTAAGAGAGCAGGCGAAACACTGTTGGGCTAACAACCCATATTCGGTTCAAGATGGGTTTTATCAGCCCACAGCTCACCTCCTCTTGACTTAACTCTAATTTATATTAGGGGGGTATGGTGACTATAAAAAGAAACAGAAAAATGTAGCAATAAGGCAGAAAAGAAAGAGAAAGAAATTGAAGAAAACAAGGACAACACAGAGAGACTGTTCTCGATCATCTAATAATTCTTTCATCTCATGTTAAATCAGATCTATAATAGATTCTTACTGTGATTACTTGGGAAGAAGTATGAAGGACTTAAATATTGTGCACAGTGACGTGATCCTTGTATTCCAGTTATTCTCTTGTGATTGTTGTTAGAATTTTGGACAAGAGATTTAGATTTGTATATTCATTATTATTATAGTAGATTATCTTTAGTTTATCCCGTGATTTTTACCATTCACATTGAACGAGTTTTTCATGTATATCATGGTATTCTATTTAATTATGATTTCATTTAATTCCGTTGTATGATGTTAGTATTTGTTCATATACGAAAGTTAATTTCTCTTTATATCCCATCAAACAAATACATCCATCCAACAAGGTTCCAGTCGGCCAGCAATCCGCCGAATGAAGACCGAAAACTTCGGTAGTGGCGATCGTCAATCAACACTTTCGTGGAAGAACCAAATCACATGACACCTCCCTGGCATTTGTCTCCACGATCGGAAGACAAAGGGATAGCTTCCTCGATGGTGGGACATTGACTCGGGAAGTCTCTTCCGGACTGGGCTAACTGGTGATCCAATCGTAGCCTTGGATCGACAAGCGAAAGCTCTGATCCAAACCGAGGAAGATGGGGGATACGAGTTTGCTGGGGAAGTCATCGATCATGACAAAGACGACCATCGTTCACCTGTTCTAACCTTGTCCTTACGAAAAGATTTGTCATGCGAGATCGACCAGCACCTCAGCTACATCAACTTGTGTCAATTATAAGGACTGCTTCGGAGACACTGCTTCCTCACTTTGAGATTGACCACCTCATTTAATCTCCTTGAGACGGAAATCGTTGTTCTCCTTTACCCTTCGAGAAGCTGCGAAAGACACATGAGAATGTATAAAGTTGACGTGAGGAATGCATATTTTTGGGGCCTCTTTTTGGTCATTCACGACAACCTTCCTTTTGTTACTTTAACGTCAAGATTCGAACACCAGCTCGTCGGTAAGCTTACCTTTTTATCGTCACGTGTCGGGGGTCGTACCCCTCCGTGACAGCTAGGACTACGGAATCATTTACATCGGATCTGGTCACCGCCTGTGGCCTTACCTCCACCACCAAGATGTGGCCGCAACAGAGCCAACAACCAATTCGAACGAACCGAACCAAAAGTAAAACGTATAGAAAACCGCGATTCTTCTTTTATTTTTTTGTTAATTGTATTTTTAGTTCGAAGCTAAAAATAAATAGAGATAAAAAGAGGTCCGCAAGAATCAGATCGATTTGGTTTGTCTGCGTCTCCGCGTCGTCGTCTCAGCAGTAACTCCCCCGTCTGCCCACCACCTTCTTGTGGTTAGTCCGAACAGAAAAAGAGTGGCGAAAACGAGTTTCGTAGCTGCTATTATTTTACCTCATCGTCCCGTTTCGTGAAAGCTTCGTGGATCGATGTGATAAGGTGCTTGCGGAGGGAGGAGGGTTCAGCTTTCTGCGGATCCGCTGCTGCTGCTGCAACCGGAGGTCGTCACATTTCTTTCTGATACCACATAGGAGATCGGTAAGAGGATGGTCGATGAATTACCTTGCTTTCTTTTGGTTCTGTTGCCATTTCTTGGATTTCCTGTGCATATTTGACTCTAGCATCTTCTGAGTAGTACTAGTTCTTGGTCTCGTGACGTCGGTAAGGGTTTTGCGAATTTGCAACTGATAGATAATGGGACGATTTGGGTTTCTAATGAATCTATTGGTTCTATTCCCTTCTTTCTTTCTTTATTTTAGCTCGGATGGTTGGAATATCTGGTTTTCCTTCTTCCTTTTCTCCCTGGTTTTCGTTTGATTGTAATTTCTTGGTCTGACTTCAGTTGAACAGATCTTGTTATTAGTTGGTTGTTCAGTCTAATTTGGGTTATTCTGCAAAGAAAAATCAAATGTCTCGTGGAAATTCAGACCCAAATTTATCTCCATTCCATCTGACGCTTGTGATGGATCAAACTATGACGAAAATTGTGCGATTGATGGCCATGATCACCATCATGGAAGAGTGCATTTGCTGATCTTGTTCTAGGCTGATTAATGCAGTCTTCGTCCAATTGCAAGACCCTATTCTGTTACAATGCCATACTTTGCAGTGTATATAACTTCATCTAGAAGAAATCTTTGATAGCCATAGTATTGTCGCCTATGGAGCATGAGAGAAGGTTTATATATATTTTCTGATCCGAATTCCACTTAACACGTTGAAGAAATGATGTCAAAGTAGTTGGGAAAACATAAGTTTTAGGCAAAAAGGAGGAGCTGGCATGAATTTTGAACATTGCTGCATCACAGATAAATAACCATAAGTCCGTCGTGATATACAGAAACTCAAAAAAGTTACTAGGTGGCGTTCAAACTTCTGGAAGAAAAAGAACAAATGGGATGTTTGTTGGGTTTCATTTTTTGAATTGCTTTATATTGTTGCACTTCAAGCTAGAGGGTGAGATACAACTTCTGCACCTTTCTTACATAACCTGAGGGACTCAATGCTTTTATTCCTTTAAGAACTAGATTTCTTCCATAAATTTCACATTTGATGACAATAATAGTTGAAGTTTAGACATACTTGTGAGAAATGATATTGGCTGACTATTATATGCCATAGAAAAGCAGAAAATAAGTAATTATTTTGTTTCTGATTGTGTAGAGATCTCACATAAATTCAGATAGTTAATTTGATTTTTGTTTGACTCTTTTCATTGATTTGTTGGGCACATAAAAGATTGGAAGACTGGACTTTTATCTTTATGTTTGTCTACTCTTTAATTTACATCTCATAGTTTATCTTTATGTATGCCATCCCGCAGCTGAAAATCAGAACTTAACTGCTCTCCAAGTGCAAAAAAGCACGCAGAAATGGCTGGTCATTGACATAATAAATTGAAAACTTAAATCTCAAACTGAAAATCGACCTAACTTGCTTCTGGGAGATTATCCTGATAGCGTCTGTGTCTGCTGAATAGCACTTGATACCAAATAACACCAGGCGAATACATATACAAATAAACTTGGGAATCTATTTCATGTACCCAGGGGGCATCCTGGCTTTTTCTTATTTGAATTCCATTCATTGGCCAAACAAATTCATATCAGGCAAGAGATCCCATAGAACAGCCTTTTCTTTTTAGATATTTCTAGTAGGTGATTTTGTATATTATTTGTGACAGGGATTTTGGTTTCGTTAAATTACAATAGGTGTATCCCAAGTCTAGATAATTAAAATAAACCACCAAAGGCAGTCGAGTAATGGTTAGTTCTTTTAGGATTTTCTTCTTTCACTTGAATTGAAGTGTGAGTCTAGTCTGACCTCATGTTAGCTGCATCAGTCTTTCTGAAAATAAGTAAACACAATATGCATCAAATTGATTTCTGGTATCAATTGTTGACATGGGTGAAACTATACAGACTTAAGGGACTAGCTCTTCAGATCCCCTTTTCTCTCCATGGAAACAAACAGTGCAGTGCTGCCCCCATCTACCTATCTCGTTTTCCAACAAGCCCGCATTCTTTCCTCGTGTATGCTGCTATTCTGGGGAGATAAATTTCTATACTTCTGATCCCAGTGAGAAAGAAAAACCGCAGGATATTTCTGAAAATAGTTGCAGATGCTCCATATAAGATGACCTTCTTATGGGTGAATGATCTATGGCATTCTTAGATAGACCAGTCATGATAGTTTGCTCTCCCACGTTTCTTGTTCAAGGCCTTTTTAATTTTCAGCTTTACTCATCATCTCTTGATACCTCTCATAACAATTATTTTTGTTTTTATTTCCTTTATAGTTGTATTTATCAGTCTTGATTACTTATGTTTCGGAACATAAGTAAACAAGACCGACAAATACAAGTAGTTGGGACTTACAGTTTTGTTGTTGTTGTTGTTGTTTACTTGTGTTTCGGAAAAGATAGCAAATACTGTCATCAGCACAACATAAACAAATTGCATGGATTCAGGCATATTTTACAATTTAACAATTTGTTTTCTCCAATTTTCTTTCATAAGGCCAAAATGCCAGATATCCAGTTAGGAGCTCACACATTGAGATCCCATGGAACCAAAGTCGCAAGATTTCACATGCATGACTGGATCATACTTATACTCCTTGCTATAGTCGATGGATGCTTAAATATTATAGAACCATTTCATCGGTTTGTGGGAAGAGACATGATGACAGATCTGAGGTATCCATTGAAAAGCAACACAGTGCCATTTTGGGCTGTTCCGGTACATTCTTCTTCTCTTAAGTGGTAAAGAGTTTTTCTTTATAGTTAATATTTGCACTGGTGCATTGTAGAACAATAACAATTTCCTGGCAGTTACTGGCGATTGTGTTACCTATTGTTATTATTGTTGGAATATACTTCAGAACGAGGAACGTGTATGATTTGCACAATGCCATACTAGGTACATTTATTTTCCAGTGCTATAGAACTGGTCAGTTTCGTTTACTTTCTTTTATTTTGCAATTGACCAGCAAATGTATGTGCAGGTTTGCTCTTTTCAGTGCTTCTAACTGGAGTCATAACTGATGCAATAAAAGATGCTGTTGGCCGACCACGGCCAGATTTCTTCTGGCGCTGTTTTCCTGATGGAAAAGCTGTGGGTCCTGAACTTTTATTTTAATCTTGTCCATCCTCTAAAGTTGTCTTTTACATGTTACCAGCAAGCATGTTGTTTCATGTGGCTTTTGCCTAAGAAAATCTTAATATGCAGGTCTATGACAACATGACAACAAGTGTTATATGTCATGGGGAAAAAAGTGTTATTAAAGAAGGGCACAAGAGTTTTCCAAGTGGGCATTCATCATGTAAGCATCAAACTAATCACCTACTTGTAACTGATGGTTTTAAATTTCAGATTTTGTCAGTTTTTTGTTATGAGATGACTTTGAGGCTCTATTGGGTGTTATTGATATCTTATAATACCATATCTGGAAGAACTGCTGTGGGCTACTAAGTTTCACTTCGTGTGTTGATTATGGTTATCCGTCCCAATATGTCATTGTCTTCTGAGCTATGGAGATTTTGTTCCTCCTAAAGCATCACAGTGAATCAGAATCACTGCGTTTGATCCTCTAGACTAGTCATAGAACTCTGTTTTTCCTCTCTACTTTTGCTCCTGTAGGTTCCGACTCAGTGTTCTTGCCACTTTCCAATGATTTTCGTAATTACACTTGTATGACCCTCCCCAGGCAATGGAAGTCTTGTGCACTGAGCCACCTTACTTTTTAACACAGGAGAAATTTGGACTGAGGATTTGTACTATCCATGTGCAGGGTCTTTTGCAGGCCTAGGTTTCCTAGCATGGTATCTAGCAGGCAAAATCCAGGCTTTTGACCGTAGGGGCCATGTTGGAAAACTATGCATTGTACTTCTTCCCCTACTTTGTGCATCCCTTGTGGCAGTTTCTCGAGTTGATGACTACTGGCATCATTGGCAAGATGTCTTTGCGGGAGGATTACTAGGTATGTTTTAAAATCAAATTGATCATTTTCAAGCTTAATGTTTGTGTCTCTTTACTATGTATCTTTATAACCAAGTTTTTGATATATGCAGGATTTGTAGTCGCTTCATTTTGCTATCTGCAATTCTTTCCACCTCCTTATGATCTAGATGGTATGTATCATTCCCTACTTAGTCAGGTGTTTGTCTCGGTACTTTGGTTTTCTGTGTTTTAGTCTCATGGGAGACAAAAATATGTTTTGTGGATTTTCATGTATTGCAAGATGAGTTTCTCGCCTCATGCAGACATTTACCTTCACATGTTTAATTAAACATATATTTCTTTTGGTAAATTCAATTGATTTTTAAAGGAGAATGCCTAGAGTTGCATAATCGATGTCATAATTGGCTCTTCACATTGATTGCCCAATTTGATTTCCTTGCCACATCGCTAATCAATGATTGTCATGATATCTTAGCGTGGATCGAGTTTACAAGTGTTATAAAAAAGGGAATGAAGGAAAAACGTTTTAGAATTCAGAACAAGTTAAATTGTGCTTGATTTGGGAGGATTCAATGGGCAATTACTAGATTGTACAACTTATTTCTGGCACTCATAACTTTTGAATCTTGGGACTGGAGTTGCTACCATTCGCTGTTGGGGACATGTTAAAATTGGTTGGTTATAAAACAGGAGCGTACACACCGACCATTTGCTCTCTTTATTTCTTTCTCTATGTTTCTGTTAACGGGCATGACTAGTACCAAGGTTATAACAAGAAAATGTATATGGAGACAAAAATTTTGTAAATTCTCATGGGGAAAGTCACATATCTTGATCAATAATGTGCAGAGCAACACATTCGGTCGAGATGCTTGTGCTGTGAATTCACTGCATGATATAATTCTAATTCATGTCAAGTCTCATCCTTGTGATTCTCCCAGGTTGGTGGCCTCATGCACATCTGCATGCAATGGCTGATACCAGAAACGACGATCAGTTGCAGTCGAATGCAAATTCTCTTCAGTCAAGGCCATCGATGATTGTAACTGCTTATGTTGCATCGGAAGGTCAGGATGGCATCCACATGAGAGACACGAGTCCAATTCTAGATTCAATGGAAGGTGGTAGAGTACTTTGATTCGTCAAATTCTGATGCAATGTGGATTTGGAACATGATACATCAACTCTTCTTACTGTTCTCCCTCATCGATAACTGGTTGGTTCTGTTCTGTTGTATATGCGATTTGTTCTTTTGCCTTTTTCTTAGTGGTGTATGGTCTCCACTCCGAATTCAAATATTCTACTATCATTTTCACGATGTATGCATTGAATGTTGACGTCTTGGGAATATATGTATTTTAACATGTTTTATTCTTTTCATTAGATATCTTTCCAACAGGTCAAAAGAAGGGGTGGGACTAACAAATTTATGGATTCTTGATCCATCTCAAGAAGACCTCAATGGCCTTCTAATGAGAGGATGAGGGGATAATTATTACCTTGTCATTTTGTTCCTTGTACTACGTTTTGGTATCACAAATGCCTTCGTATCTAAAAACTCTCTCATCCATCCTACATGTCTCCTCTTCTTCTTTGCTGTTGTGAAATTTCACCAAGTCCTTAATATTATTATCTTCATAGTGTGGGTTGGCAATTTGACAACATCAACTTGATTTTTGTCGGTCTACAGTTTTCAATACGTATAAACATATACTTGTAGACGTATCATGTTATCAGTACTTTTGCGTTCTTGAATGATCAACATCTATAGTCGGAAACTTTTTAAATGACCCCATTTTTTTTTAATGTATTTTCCCCTTAATTCTTGATATTGTGTATGTAACAACTTTCATCTCATGAAAAAAACAGTGATTAGCTTGTTTCGCAAGAATGAACACATTGGTACATTGAAAAGGGACGTCTAAACTATGCGAGAAATGAAATTGTTCGAAGCGGCAGAAGGAAAGAGGCGTTGTGCGTGCTTTTCTCAGTGGGCTACAATTTGACGGAAGAAGACTTGATTACGATTTAGAGAGAATTTTTAATTATTATTTATATAGATTTTATGTATGGTGAGAAATCCTAAGCTGACTAGGAAGGAATACGTGGAATTGGAGTCGAGTGGCCGACTTGGTCGACTCATTTTGTTACTTCAAGATATGAAGGAAGTTCTCAAGTACGCATCACCTACCACGTACAGGTTTTGCATCAAACTGATACACTCACCAATGCATGGGATCCTGCCCCTCTTATTTAGTGCAAGCGCGTGCATGCAGATGAGAGAGAGGGAGAGAGAAGGAGAGAGTGTGAGTCTGTGTGTGTGTGTGTTGAGAAGGACTAATAAAGGCCAGGGTGAATGCGACCACAAAAGGAAACCGAAAAGGATGTGAGAGAGGGGGCGGAGAAGCTCGGTTATCGTGCTGCCAATCCCTCGCCGAACCCCACCTCTGTCTCTGTGTGTGTGTGTATATTGGGAGTACTCTGGTCCCTTCCTCGCTGTTGGTCCCATCCCCCTCTTCCCTCCTCCCCACCTTTGCCGGCCCTTTGTCTCCCCTCCAACCTAACCCAGCCAAACCTCCTCCATTCTCATCCTCTTGCACGTGCCCTCTCTCTCAATCATTCACTCCCTACGCACTCCCTCGCTCCCTCACCCTCCCCCCCACTCCTCCGCACCCATATATACCTCTTCCCCCCACCCTATTCTCATCCTCTTCTTCTCCTATATCCAGTAGGCATGTTCTCCAACGGCGGCAGCTCCTTGCCTTCCAAGACTAGTGACCAGGAAGAAGACCACTCCATTCTGCTGCTCTCTCTTTGGCCCCCTGGAAGCCACGCCACCCCTTCGCCTTGCTCCTCTCCAGCTTCCTCTTCTTCTACTTACGCACCGCCCATCGCTCCTAATTGGTTCCACAAACAGCACCACTACTTCTCTCACTCTTCGAACCAGGTGGAGGATGACTCCGCGGTGACGATCGCGCTCTCCATCGGCCCGCCGCCCGGTGCTACTAGTGCTTGTGCAAGCACAATCGCCATGCCCACTACCGTCACGGGCTTGAACCCCGTGCCTAGTCAGTACTGGATCCCCTCTGCCGCCGAAATCCTCATCGGCAACACCCAGTTCTCCTGCACCGTGTGCAACAAAACCTTCAACCGCTTCAACAACATGCAGGTCGATGTTGATCGTTGCTAATTCCTGCTTCATACACGCTGTGATCTCACTAGATATGTGTTGTCTCTCTCTGATCCTAACTTCGCGTCGTGGCTTCCGAGCAGATGCATATGTGGGGACACGGCTCGCAGTACCGGAGGGGATCCGAGTCGCTGCGTGGTGCCACGAGGCAGATGCCGTCACCCTCGTTGCTGAAGCTGCCTTGCTACTGCTGCGCCGAAGGGTGCAAGAACAACATCGATCACCCCAGGTCACGGCCGCTCAAGGACTTCCGGACGCTGCAGACGCATTACAAGCGCAAGCATGGAGCGCGGTCCTTCGCGTGCCGGCGGTGCGGCAAGGCGTTCGCGGTGCGCGGCGACTGGCGCACCCATGAGAAGAACTGCGGGAAGCTGTGGTTCTGCATCTGCGGCTCCGACTTCAAGCACAAGCGATCGCTCAAGGACCACGTGAGGTCCTTCGGCAGCGGCCATGCACCTCACATCGTAGAGACGATGAGCTTCGACGAAGAGGAAGAGGAGGAGGAGGAAGAGGGTGACGATGGTGATGAGGAGGGAAACGGAGACAACGGCGGCGCGCTTTAGCTTCTTATCTAGTGGCATAACAACCTTATAACAGACATCATTAGTTTAAGATATGGGAGAGAGAGAGAGGGTGAGAAGGAGAGGAGGGAGGGAAGTTGCATGGTAGGTTCTTCAAATTGGATCGTTCTATCAGTTCCTTTACTTTTTTGTTTTTCCTTTAGGTTACTGTTGCCGACTGTCATCGTGTCTTGTGCATGTGAGAGAGAGAGAGTAAGAGGGAGAGAGAATGGATCTCTTTTATCTGTAAGAGTCTGTGTTTTTTCTCTTTCATTCAAGTCTTCTTCCATGCCTAGTCAGTCTTAATCTCAATGCAGTTGCCGCAGTACGTACCTACAGAAGTCATTGAAGAACAGTAACTTAGATCCTCCATGTTAACCAGAGTCTTAATATGCCAGCTTTAGCTCGCAGTCCTCGCTTGGCGAATCAGAGAAGGCATAGATAGACAGGGAAGGAGAGAGGGAGAGGAAGAGAGAGAGCAGACATAGCCGGAAACGGGCATTGGCTTCTTTTCTTTTAGTCTGCACGTATAAAGCAACTCTTCCACTAATAAATGTGGACATGACACGGGAGAGAGGTGCGCGATATCAGACATCTGATGGATTGGTAGTAGCTGCTGCGATGGAGAGGGAAGAGTCTGAAACGAGTCTGTACTCATGTCTGTTAGCTTCAGCCACTGAGTTATTGATATGTTAACACGTACAACTCATTGTCTCTCTCCCGACGTGCATTGGCATTCACTCTCTGGTTTTCTTTCTCTCCCGATGGCGCTTCCACGATTATTACTGTTCCCACAGAAGCTTTATGCAGAAGTGTCAGCACGGTACGTGGACCGCAGAGACAGAGAGAGAAGAGAGAGAGAGAGACTGCTGCCATTTTTTGAGTCCTCTGAGGGTTGCTCCAAAGCACTGTGCCTTCTTTCCCTTCCCAGCCAGTAACCAACACATGCTACAGAGAAAGCCAGCAGAAACGCCTCGATGCCATTGCATGCCTGGTTGCATCAGCTGGCACGGAAAGAGAAACCCAGATCACTACGCGCCGAGCTGCCATGGGTTGCACTGTGCGATGGTATTCCACCAAGTGCTGCGACGTCATAACATTCACATAAACCAACGCAGGGTTGCACTTCCTCCCGGACTATATGTATACATGCATCCGGGATGGCATGGCATGGCACGTTGGGTACACCTCCGACGGCACGTACATAATACAGGCAAATCCAATCGTCGCAACATTGAATCTCTGATGTCCTCATCAGCTTCACGTATGTTCAGTAGTTCACATGACTTCCTTCAAGGATGACGCCTTAGAATCAACCAGACGGATTCTCATCTCTAAGCTTACCCTGAACTCCATTGATGGTTTTGGAATTTTACTGTCATCGAGATGGTTCAATACACCAGGATTTGAGTTGAGTTGCACTTCAACCAATACAGATAATACGTAACTGTGGCACGTATTATCAAAGACAAGATTTTACTATGAATTTACATTAATTCTAATATTTTGCACAACATAATTAAAGTCCATACCAAAAGATGGGATGAGTTTGCAAATATAAAACTTACAACAATTTGTGCTAACACATTTAGGGCCACATCTATCGAGTCTTCCACAAAAAATTAGGGTAGACTTGTTCTCTCTAACGTATAGGATAAGCTTACATTGGGACTCGACGTGTAAATTTAATTTACAAATAAGATATGAGATACTCCCACAAGAGAAGTAACGCACGTAATTATCATGGCATGCATGGCAGCTAACTGTTGCTACCTATGATGGCAACCAGATGGTCTCATGTGGTATAGTAGATAGAGAATGATTTGCAAGGATCCACGCCAATGTTTTTGATCTGCGTTCGAATTCAGATTACATCATATTGTAAGCCGCAGCCTGTTTTATTCAGATTGCTGCTGCAGTTAATCATAAATGCAGCATGCGGTGAGAGATCGTCTTTCTTTTCTGAAACAGGTGAAGGTTCAGAGTCGCCATGTCTATATGTGTTCTGAGTTGGCTTGCAGGAGTTACTTACAGCCTTTCTTTCACCTCAAGTTCAATCGCCGCAACTCATTCTTCATTCGTAACGACTAACGGCATCCTACGTGAACTGCTCTTGTCGTATGGTTTAGGTGCAACGGCAATCTTGCTTGATGAATACGCGATATCTTATGACCTTGATAAAGAAGAATAACGGCATGTATGTAGCAGCTTATCTCAGTCCAGTGGAGGAAAGAGCAACCGAGACTTGAAAGAGAAGGAGAAGAAGGAGAAGGAGGAGGAGGAGGAGGAAAGCGTGCACAGTTCACCTTGGTGAGTGGAATGAGGGGTGGGTCCCACGAGCACGGGGGGTGGCCCGGCGGGAGGACCCGTCGACGTCCGTGCGGACGTGTTCCCCACGCGGGCGGGCCCCACGTGGCAGTGGAGGGGAAGGGGTGGGTTCGCAAAAGGTGCGCGCGCAGATGGGTGTGCCGTGGCCACGCCAGAACACGCCAAAGCTCAAAGCTCCAAAGGCCGCGGCCGAAAGCTACGTATGTAGTACCCAGCTCTGCTACTGCTCCCTGTACAAAGGTCGCCTCCCTTCCCTCTCCTCTCCTCTCC